GGGGCCGGCTTGTTGGGGTTTCCATCCCTCCAAGTACCCCAACAGCTGGCAAGCAACAAAGAAAATCACACACAGGACTCCATAAGGTTATAAACTGATTGGCTCATTAGGTCAGGCTTCTTGTTAACTCTTATAACTTATATTAACCCATTATTCTCATCTATGTTAGCCATAATGGCTCTGTACCTTTTTCAGCTGGGCAGGTTACATGCTGTCTCTTCGGTGGTCTGCGCAGGAGTGGCTGAGGAACTTTTCTCCTCCCTAGCCTTATCCTATTCTCATTACTCCGCCTCTACTTCCTGTCTGGTTGGCCCGCCTATACTTCCTGCCTGGCCAATCAGCGTTTTATTAAAATACATGATTGACAGAATACAGATAATTCTCCCACACCAGGTGACCTTTGTGCATAGTACTTTATTACATCCTTCCCAGAATCATGACTTCCTGAGACTGCAGGAATGTTAATCTGGGTATTCCATTGTTGTAGCAGGTCACGGCCCCATAAATTTATTGCAATATCAGCTACATATGGCCTTAACTTTCCTCTTTGACCCTCTGGTCCAATACAGTGAACCCATCTTGTGCTTAGTTTAACTCAAGATATGGTTCCAATTCCTAGTAATTGAACATATGCCCCTTGAAGAGGCCAATTTGGATGCCAAGATTCTGGAGTGATGATACTCACATCTGCTCCTGTGTCTATCAAGCCAACAATCACAATTCCATTTATACATACTCTCAGCTTTGGTCTCTGATCATTTATAGAAGTTTGCCAAAATACACGTTTCTTATTTCCTAATTGAATTTCTGACTTATCCTCCACATTTGCATCATTTAGAACCTTATGATCTTGTACAGAAGCTTCTAGAGTTTTTAATTTTCCTGGTGTGACATGTCCTCCACGTTACTGGGAATGACTGGGCCACTTTTGGCTTGGGGGCCTGCGAGAGGCCCCTCAGGGAGTTTCCCGATGGTATTGGGTTGCCTTTTCTGTCTGTTGTTGATCTGCATTCATTCGTCCAATGTCTTCCTTTACCACACTTCCTACATATACCTGAATGCCGAGGTTTCCTATTCCTGCCATTCCCAGATGAAGTGTTATTCCTAGAAATACCTTGCCTGCAATTCCTTTTTAGATGTCCAAATTTACCACAATTAAAACATTTGGCAGGTTGATGTCCCCTCATCGCTTTAGAAATCGCTTCTCCTACCCAAAATTCGTCATCGTAATTAAAAGTCTGAAAATTCATGGTATGCTGGATCCATTCATCCATAGGTGCTGATCTAGACCTTAAAGGCCCAATTATCTTTTTGCAGTCTAAGTTTGCATTTTCAAAAGCCAGTGATTCAAGAATTAGTCGTCTAGCTTCTGGGTCTGTTATTCCTGTGTTCAGAGCCTTAATTAATCTTTGCAAAAAGTCAGTATAGGGTTCTCCCTGTCCCTGCCTAACCCTAGTATATGACTCTACCTTTCTTCCTGGCTCTGGTAATCTACCCCAGGCATTTAAAGCTGCCTTGTGGCATAGAGACAATACTTCATCATCATAAAGAGCGTGGACCTGTGGATCAGCGTAAGCTCCTATGCCAAGAATTTGATCCTGTGAAACCTCTATACCTTTTGCTCTTCCTTGCAGTTCCGTATGTTTGGATTCTTCCTTGAAATAAACTCCAAACATCAAGGAAGGTCCATCTTCGAGGACCACTGAAACTAACTGTGAGAAATCATGGGGGATAGCCCTGACATTAGAAGCCCAAGTTCTTATCATTTCCTTAACAGATGTAGAATGCAAGTCATAATTAACAATGGCTTGCTTAATTTCCTTTAGGTCATTCATACCTACTGGTGTCCATCTAGATTCTTTGGTTCCCTTTGAGCCTTTTGAAGTTGATGCTTTGTCAGAATAAATCACAGGGTATGTTGCTAAAACCCTGGGTAAGCCAGTTCTAACAGGTGGTGGTGGCATTGTATCCTGCCCTTGTGTCTTCTCACCCGGATCATCAGTTCCAATAATTTTTTTCAATCATTTCAAATCTTTGTATCATCACCTCTCTTAAATCCTGAATCTCCTGACCTGCATATGTTTCTAGTGATTTCACTAAGGTATCAATTTTTTAGTCCCCATTCTGCCCTTGTGACTCCAAGGTCTTAATGGTTCCTTTTAAAGATAGTATCTCTTCCTTGAACTGCCCCTGGATATCATGTAAATTGCCATCCTGGAGGTATATTCTGTCTGTTACCTTATCAAAACTCTGTGACAACTTTTCAAAGTCAAATTTCAACAGCTTGGATCCTTTCAGGTAATTTCTTAGTGCCCTTAGATAAGGAGTCAATTTTGCCTATCATAGTATTAATCCTATCAACTAATGCCACATATTTCCTCAATGATATAACATTAAGAAGGAAGCTAAAACCTAATAACCAGTAAATTGAGGTACCTCCATAGGCATATAGGCCACTTGTGATTTCTACCAAAGTGGCAGCAAAAGCTGTAGCTAGAGTCCCATTAAAAAATAAACCTGCCATTTTACCTTTCAGCCACCATATGGGAATGTCTCCGAGTCGCGACTGGAATCACTGTAGGCCTCACGACAAATCCTGTTTTAAAATCTGCTCTGTTATTTGTTCAAAAACTGGGGAAAATGAGTCAATTGAGAGGTCAGATGTACACAGAGAGAAAATCCAGAGGCCAGGCACAGAGCACAAAAAGTCAGAGAGCTTCTAGTGGCCAATAAACAAGGCAGCCTGGCCTAACCTGGCCGGGCTCTCCTGCCCTGCCGCTCTGTTCAACCCGATGTAAAGGGTCATGACACAGCCACTGTGCTATTGCTAAAGAGGCCTAGTGCTTTGGGCCCCGTGTCCCTGTGCTGGATTAAGGGTCAAGCTGCTTGCAGCGCTCCCAATCAGTTATGGCGGATGGCAGGGGTTTCAAATAGCTTGCTGGAACTTCAAAGGGAGCTTGCACTGTGAGCTCTTTGACTCATGTTGCAAGGAAAAATTTTAAAAATCCGTGCAGAACAGAGCAAAGTAGGCCAGGAGAGACTGTCCGAACCTGTGTATCCTGGGAGGCATGGAGGTTATGGCTGAGGGAGGGCTCGTGCCAAGCCAAGCTGGTCAAGCTGAGCTGGCAGTAGGCAGCCAAGCCAGAGGCCGGCAGCTGAGGGAGGTGGGGGGGTGGAGGGGTGGGGGGCTTGTTTCTTAAACCAAACACTGGGCGCCAGATAATGGCGAATCAATCCCACACCAGTTATGTTTTAAAGGGGTATTTATTTTGGGGGGTAAACTTACATGCACATAAACCGTCAGGAAAGGAGCCTAGTCGCTGGAACAGGAGCCGGAACCAAGCGCCGGAACCAAGAGGCCGAGCCAAGGCTTGCTGCTCTTCTTTTAAAGAGAAATATACCACACCCCAGTGAGCTGGTATTTCAGCGGCTATTGGCTGACAGAGCGGAAGGCACTCCCGCAGCACTGTGGGCTCGTGCTTCAGCGACTATTGGCTGAAGCAGCGGAAGGTACTCCTGCAGCATCCCCTCCCTTCCAGATTCCTTTCTTTCATCTTCTTAGGGGTTTTGCATCTCTTTGTGCCTATCAGGTGAAAAGCAGAGGTGTGGACAAATGAGCAAGAAGAAAGCCAAAGAAAATGTGGACCAAAAACAAAACTGGGAAGGGCAGGCTGAAGAGCACAGTCTTCTTGGGTCCATAGAGATCAAAACATTCTCTTCTTCTATAGAGGCCTTGGAGGGGAGACTAAGGGCACCAAACATAAGGGAGCGTGGTAGTAGTTTCACAGGGTGGTGGTAAATGAGACAGGGGATAGAGGATGTAGGGATGTAAAAAAAGAGAAGTCTGGCCCCTTTGTGTGTGTGTACAGTGTGTGTATCTGTGTGTCTGTGTGTCTGTGTGCATGTGCCCTTGCACTCATTCATGGAGTCTAGAAGGAGGTGCTGTGTCCCTTGAGCTGGAGTCACTGGCATTTGTGAGATGGCCAGTGTGAGTTCTGGGATCCTAACTCTGGTCCTCATGATTGAGCGGCAACAAGTGCTCTTAACCACTGAGCCCTCCCATCTCCCCCCCCAACCCCATCTGACTTTTTTTTTTTTTTGCCAATGATCCTTTCTTACTGGAAGAAGTCCCAGAAAGAATGGTTACAGAATCCCAGATATAAGAAATGGAGAGATGCTCATCTCTGTGTTTGACTCAACATTCTCCTCTCATTTGTAGTCTGAAACAGTCCTCCTTGTAGTACCTTAGAGGGGAGATGAAGGATTGGTGTGGGAGAATTGTCTGTATTCTGTCAATCATGTTTTAAGTAAACGCTGATTGGGCGGGCAGGAGGTGTAGGCAGGGAAACCAGACAGAAAGTAGAAATGATGCAAGGAGAGCAGGAGAATTCTGGGGAGGAGGAAGTTGATTCCTCCCACTCCTGCCCAGATCACCGAAGCAGCAGGATATGAGTTGCCCCACTGAAAAAGGTACTGAGCCACATGGCTAAAATAGATCAGAATAATGGGTTAATCAAGATGTGAGAGTTAGCTAATAAGTAGCCTGACCTAATGGACCAATCAGCATTATAACTTACGAGTCCTATGTGTGATTTTCTCTGGGACTAACAGCTTGGGGGCCGGGCAGGACAGAAACTCCAACAAGCAGGGCCCTTCATGTTACAAAGGATACAAGATGGAGGCCAGAGGCTGCTATGGTGACTTTCATCGTTGCTCTCCACCCTTTTGTTGTTGTTGTTGTTGTTGCTTAATTGAGTCTCTCCTCCATGGACCAGACGGCCATCACTCTGGCGAGGCTGCCTAGACAATTGAGCCCCAGGATCCACCTGTCTCTGCCTCCTCAGCCCTGGGATCACAGAAAGCTTTCATATGGCTTCTAGGGATCCAAACTCACATTCATGCTCGCATGAGAGGCATTTTACACACAGAATCATCCTCCCCACCCCTCAACTTGTGGATTTCCAAATGAGTGATGTGTTCTAAATGTCTTTTGTAAACAGATGTGCCTTTTAATCTCGAGGGAAGTGAGAATGAAGAACTTTGCCTTTTAACCTCAGGAAAACTCAGCTATTCCCTCTCATGGGCTTTAGATGACAATGGAATCCCTTTGACACCCGTATCACAGTCATTGCGATCTGCATACTGTAGGTAATAAACTTTTCATGTTTGAAACATAGTTTTACATCTCAGCAAGACATCCCATAAAATGTGCATGTAAATGTTTGGGTGAAGGCTTCGCTCTAGCCCCTGGCATCCATATACTCAAAGAGTCTGGAATGTTCTGATGGAAGCTCCATCCCAAGCCCCCTCCCCTAGAGCTGCCTCAGTCCAGACTCTGCCCCTGAGAAAGTCCACTAACTGATGAACCCTCCCCAGAGATGCTCAAGACCACTCTTACAGGGTATTTAAAATGCCCCCCAGAAAACAAACACATGGTTTTCTGGTCTTCCTTTCCCATCTCCTCTGGGGGTGGGGGTGGCCTGGAAAGCCAAACAGGAGCATTTGTATCCATTAAACCTTGGCTTTTTTTTTTTAACTTGGTTTGATTTGGTCTGATTCGGATTATTGCGTCAACAGAGAAGCTCACTGGGGCGTAGAAGGGGCTTGTAGACAGCAGCAGGCTGCTGACTTTTCGTTGACTCTTCACACTGTGGCACTGTTTTCTGTGTAGGAGGACGTGTTTCTTCCCCGCTTAGGTTTACAGTCACATGGACAGCTAGAGAGGGATTTCCATCTGTAATCCTCAACTTGCAAAGGCTCAGAGTTCGTTACTGAGGGTTTACATTTTCCCAGTCATTCCAGATCGTGTGGTGGAAGGACAGTCCTAGACTTCTAGAATGTACTTGCAGTACTCCACCTTAATCCACACAGTGTGGTCTTCAGCTCTCCAACCGGCCTTGAGTAAAAGACAGAGCAGCAGACTTGGTGTTTGTTGGTAGAAATGGTTCACTGCTGATGGGGATTTTGGCTCAACCCATAGTTGAATGCCAGTGGGGTATGCAGGGGACTCACTGCAACATGGTTCTGAGGTTTGTGATAGTTTATGAGGCAAGTGTCATGGGATTCTGTGAAATCCAATGACATATTCCTTCCTTAGAAGGTATCTTGTATAAGTTTCTCTCTCCAATTTACTGTGAACATTCAAGTTTTGCCTCAACCCTTGTGTTCTGGGGCATGTGGACTAACACTGTCCCAAGAGGAAGGAAAACATGTTGCAAGATGTTAAGGATGTCATGTCTTAGAGATCTTTTGTAACAAAGATAGAAGAAGAATTCAAGTTCAGAAATAGGAAATAAAAGGAAGACTGACCCGAACTCCACCTGTCATGGCTGTGACTTCATTTGCGGTCATCGTGTCCTGGGGTGGGTCAGCCACAGATTGGTAACAGCCATTAGAGACGTAAGAACAAACCCTGATGAAAGAAAACTGGATGAAGTGGACATCAGCTTTGGCTAACACATTACAGGATCCGTGTCCACATTGCAGTTCTATGACCTCAGTTGACAGATGGGAGCTGCTCCCAAGTGCTTGCGAGAAAAGGGAATGAAAAGGAACAAAACAAATCAAAAAGGAGGACGTGACTGCTCCTAGGTGTGGTGGCGGCGGAGGAGGGTTATTGTAGACTGGAAGGGGAGTATGTCAGAGGCAGGGGAATCCAGGGGAGTCCAGAGAGAGCATGCCCCTGAGCCGTCAGAGGAGAGAGCTGAAGGGGGAAAGGGGAATAGCAGGAGACTAAGAGGCCAGGAGGGTAAAGAGCCAGGTAAGTATAATGATTGAATCCTATAGAGAAGGGCTGCTGGGGAAGGGCAGCCCAAGCCCTGGGGTGGAGGGTTGTGGGAGATGGCAGGTGCTTACCATATGCTGTAGCAAGTAGGGACTGAGGGATACTAGGAGAACCTGATAGGCAGGTCCATTTTGATATGTTAAATAGGTACCTCCACCGTCTGTCCCAGGTTTGAGACCAACAAAAAGATCTTAGAAACCCATTCCAGATTCTTCTAGTTAACATAGCTATGAAAACATCAAGTTACTTGAAAACTCCAAGTACACACTCTAAGGTTGCCTTCTTTCTGCTCTTAGTCTACATTTAAGTCACTAAGGGCATATCGTGAATCTAGCTGTCCCAGTGTTTGACTCTCCTGGCCTATACTGTCTACTTAGTCGCATTGTTTTTTGTTTGTTTGTTTGTTTGTTTGTTTTATTTCAACAACCTAAAGACAATGTTTTGAAAATTTTTTTTAGCTATTTGTTTTGTATATTTATTTATTTTCACATTTACTTACACATGCATGCTGCAGTGCCCACGGAGGTCAGAGGACAACTTAGAAGAGTTCTCTCCTTCCACTATGTGGGCTCCAGGGATAGAACTAAGGTTATCAGGGTTGATAGTAGGCACCTTGACCCACTGAACCATACTACCAGCCCCTTAGGTTCATTTTTTTCATTGTGTGCTTTCTTGATTTTACACAAACAATTATTTGGATTAAAGTTTAGTATTGTGCATCACATAAAATATTTAGCCCATTATTATGTTTAGAATTTTTAGGATACAACCAAATAGTACTATTCACTTAAACATCTACGGCATTCCAGCTCCTCTGCAAATCAGAGATGGCACAGATGAAATACCTGTAGAGTTTTATCCTTAGCAAGATTATTGTCATTTACCATTTACCGGAGAGCTATAGTGAGACTAGAAGATGAGGAACACCAGTTCGTGTATCACAGAGATAGGTTCTCTTTTATCCTTAAATACGGGATGTGGGTAGGTTCACCTCTAGGTTCCCACCATGGGCGGGCTTTAGCCTGTGCAATGCGTAACCTGTATGTTGTATGTAGAGTCACAGAATATCTTCTCCACATTAGTGTGCTGAGGAATGTTGATGCCAGAGGTGTTCCTGGACTCTCGTGGCCCGTGAACTCTCAAAAGCTTTCTGACTGGGCAGATGACATCAGGATCGATCCAAATAATCCGGAGTGTTCAGATATAACAGAGCTTATTATGGTACGTTTTTGAAACTCTCAATACTATTTATTTCCTTATATGTGTCTCTTACACTCTTTCATTATTTGCTGTGTATTTTTCCAGAGGCTTGGGGTGCACGTGAAAGTAGAATTGGGGGCACATATGATTTTCAGTCAGAGTACAGGAAAGACATTTAAAAAGCATCAGCTGAAATGATTGCTTTGGACCTGGTGGTTGGCAGGCTGACCTTTAGGCTAGCGTCTGTTACACACCAGCCATATTATTAGATACTGAAAGTGATATATCAAGAGGACTTAAGAATGTTCTCTTGCACGCAGACACCATTATCTGGGCACTTGTGCTCATCCCTACAGGCAATTGAACTGTTCTGTGCTCCCAACATGCTTTCTTTTGACCTCCCTTCGTCCATGTCACACTGACAGTGGCTGTCGTATCCACCCTCCAGGTCTGGTGTTCCTAGTTCATCCACATGCCCCTTTCTGCCTTTTGTTCATATACAACATCGCATTTTCTCTTTCTGTGTGAGTCCTGATCATTCACGTTAGAAAGCATGCCAGCCAGAGGCTGTATTTCCACAGGTCACTTGCCTCCCCAGGTCCAATTGCTCCGCCTTCTCAGACTGCAACAGACCTCACTGCTGATGGAGCGAAAATAGTATTCTGAAATAATTCTTGAATTAAAAATAATTTCCTAAGTAAAGACTTTGCGTGTTTGTGTCTTACAGTATTTGAGACATAGAGGGCAGGAAATCCCAAAATATTTCCGTCTCGAGCAGTTGCAAGATGAATTTAACTTTGTGTCTGAGGAAGAAATGAGAAGGAGCAAACGCTTCCAGCTGCTGCAGCTGAGAAACGCCGGCCAGCTAGATCTCTTCCTTCTGCAGCAGATGCCTCTCTACGACAAAGAGATTCCAGACATAGTCTTCCAGGTACTGACTCCCATTCAGACACAGCTCATTGTATGTCAGTAGCCGCTGCTTTCAAGCTGTCTTCATCTCTATTCATTTTGGTAATTAATAATCAACACTCAGACCCTTCCCTTTTCTTTAGATATTACAAACGTACAGATCACCTAAGTCCCATCATGACCTTAGCTTGACTTTTCAATGTAGTATTATCCAATCTACTTCACAGCCCAAATTCATTTGCTGTCGTCCAGATTAATGTGACTGGTGTGCTTTTGTTTTCATAAAATGTATCACCAATGTTATAGTGGTTCCAGGGAGGAGTCAGGAAAGGAATACTACCACAGTGAATACAGATAGTAATTTTAGGACATATCTCAATTCAGATCTTTAGAATCTGAAAAAGAGACAAGAGATGCGCTGGTCTCGTTGAGTTGTATGCTGCAGCCGCTACGTTCAACCAGTGATGGTCCATTACACCATGCTGTCCGGGCCACACCGGCCGGGAGTTCCTGGTGGTTGCTGTCAATCTGCAGGTGGGGGAGTAAAAGGACCTGCTTTTATTAAACACATTACCAGCTCCCACCAGTCTCATAGTAGGGGATTGTAAGAGAAGACGGCCGGGAAAGTAGCCACTGTCATAACCCCACTGGAGCTTTTCAGAGAGAGAGTTCACAAACAACTGTTTCCCACCGCTGGAGAAACTCCTGCCCAGTGGAATTGCCGCTGCAGGGTGATGGCAGCCAGCTTGAGTACAAAGGCCAGATTCTGATGCCCTCTCGGTCACCTGGAAGCTACACAGGCAAAATTATGCAGGGCTCCTCTCATCATACTTAAAACTTCAGCTGTAGTGGGAGTGTGCTGCCCCGCCCCCCAGTCAGGCAGGTCATGGGTGCTCCTTAGGCGTGGCTCAGCGGGAAAGAAGAGCGACAAAGCGATGATTTTTCTCATCTCATTTTCAAAATGACAACTTCTCTTGATCATCACTACAATTTAGAAGATCGGTGTGCCTGTCAAATGACTCAGAGGATAAAGGCACCTGCTGCCAAGCCTGACAGTCTGAGTTCAATTCCTGAGAGAGCCCACTCGTGTGAATTGCCCTCCACGTGCAGGTGCTTATACTAAATACATTAATACAAGTAAAAGATCGATGGACTTCACGCCAGAAGGAAACAGGATATATTTATAAACTGGTTTGGGCCAGTTCTCAGTGAGAGAATCAGAAAAGGCGGTTCCTTCTGAGGAATGTTTGCCACCATCCCTGTTCGTGAACAGAAACAAATTACAATATTTTTGTTGGAGTACGTCAGATTTGATATTACATTCAGGCAAAACTAACCTCATTCTCTCTTTAGGAGTATGAAAGTCAGGCACAGAAGGATATGCCCATCTCAGATGTGAACTCTATCACCGCACAAAGAATTAATTCTGTCAATTTCCTGAGAAAGGTAATGAGAGCATGGTATTGTCAATGTAGTTGGCTTCCTTGGGTGAGCACCCGTCTGCTAGGTGCACGGTAGATAGTCTTCAGAGAGGCTCACTGTGAGAGCACAGACCTAGCTTCTGTCGAAGTAAGAAAGTTACAATGTCTTCCTCCTACCTCATCCTAATTAACACTGCACTTTGAAAGCAAGGCTCGGGATATGATCTAATAATGAGTTTGCCATATTGGAAAGTAGAGACATGTGCTTACTCCCAAAGAAAGAGAACTCACATCATTTTATACCTTCTGGGACATCCAAGAAGGAGGTGAGCTGGCTCTACTGAGGGCTAAGGGAGCAATTGCTGAGGATGCCTGATAGGCATAAACAAATCCTAGGAAGGAGCGCTAAGAAAGCTATTTGGCTGTGTAGTTAGGTGTAAACTTGTTAGTCTAGACCTGCAAAGTTGGCAGGTTCACATAATAATACTAGAATCACAGATAATGGAATGTTTACCCTGAAGACCTATTAGGTCTATAGATTCTTAATCCTTGGTCTCACTGGACTGTCTGTCAGTGTTTGCTGTGTGCTGCAGAGCTTTATATGTGTTCCATGGGACATAAGTTGTGTGCACTAGATCTTTCCTGTTGAATTGGCATCATGGGTAGCCAAGGCTGGAGCTATAGCTGTAAGGTACAGTCCCAGCTAGCTCAAGGACCACTCGATAATGCTTTGCTGAAATGACAATATCTAAGAAGCTAGTGCATTTCTTCCAGAGTGGTCCTTCAATTTGTTTATTCCGGGACCATTACTGAGTATCTACTACGAGTCCTGACCTCCCAAAGTTTATATTCTAGAAGAAGCCATAATAAAATAAAATAAATATAATAAAAATAAATATTTGAGAGAATGGAGCATGTTAGGGGAAGGAGTAGAAAATGATGATATGAACTTTGTCTTTCTCTCACGTGTGTGTGCATGTGTGTGTGTTTGTTTAGGGGGTATATTTATAAATAACATGGTCAAGAAAGGAAGCGCATAGGAAGATAACAGTTGGTCAATAACTCACTACTTGTTCATTTAGAACTGAGCTAAGTAGGGAAGGTAGTCATAGAATTTCCTGGAAAAAAAATCATTTCAGGTAATATAAATCTACATGTTTGAAAACTCAACTGAAGCCCATCTGTCTCATGGGAGAAACTGCAAGGAGCCCAGTCCTACACAGTGCTAAGGGAGATGAAAGAGTAAAATTCCTGCATAAGAGCGGTCTGGTTCAATTTCAAGGGGGAAGTTTGTTGCCTGTGTGGCAGGTAACCAAGCTCCAGGTTTCGCTGTCCCCAGAATGACGTGTGGCAGGACAGAAAGCTGAAAGTCACCAACTCTGCTTTCTGGTTTCATGTCTGAAAGCCTAAATCTATTACGAAGACTGGAGCTGGGGGAGAGGGAAGAGTTTCCCGAGACTGTTGTAGTCGTAGAAGAATGGGGATTTGAGCCAGGTTCCGTGGTACATAACTGTAATCCCAGCACTTGGGAAGCTGAGTGAGGATTGCAAGTTCAAGGACAACTTGGCCCACTTAAGATCATGCCAGCCTGTGCTACATACTGAGACCCTGACTCCAATTTTAAAAAGAAGAAGAAAAGATCAAGGTTTATAGCAGCAGCAGTGAAACTCTCAGCTCCGATTGACTCTTGCCATGCTGGTGGAATAGGGACCTATACTTAGCATTAGATGGACTGGAGGGAACCACAAGTGCAGGTTTCTTCTAGTCTGTGGGCCAGGGTGATTTATGTTGGGCACTAGACTATCTTTTTTTCTTAGCGAAAACTATATCTGGCAGCACAGACCATGAGTTAGCTGGGGACACTGAGCAAGGAAATTGGATAAGATGAAAGGAACAAGAAAGGTAAGGGTATAGAAGGAATTTTCTTTGACATAAGAGTTAGTTTTGAGACTAATAAAATCAGTTTTGAGAATAATTTTAATAGTAGTAGAAATAGCAATATTTCTTCTTACCTAACTTCCTTCTTCCTCACTGCTTGAAAACTCAAGGGGTAAAATATACAGTGCTCCAGAAGCATTGTGAATACATAGCCTTAAACCAGAAACATTGAAAATACATAGCCTTAAACCAGAAACATTCCCTTTCTTTTAACTTCTGGATTTTTCTTTAGGTGAGAAGGTTGATAATGAAAAAAATCATCAAAGTCAGCAAATTTAACTTATCAGATATTGTGGCTGACTATGAAGAAATTGTATCTACAAGGTACTTTAGAATTATAAAATGTGCAAGTAAACCCTTAAGCTACTATCATCATAATCCTCTGGGTTCTCTGTATTTTAAAAATATTATGTCACATGTCAAACCTGCAGTGATGTGTTTGTCTAAGTTGTTAATACTGGGGTGAAAACCTAACAGACCCAAGGAGCAGCAAAGGTGCAGCCAGTTGACCTTCTCTCTACACTTCCCAGATCAGAGACCACAAAATCTCTAAGTCCCTCCCTACTCCTTCCTGTGCATCTTTTTTTATCCATATTCTGGCTTCTTTATGGTTCATTCCAGTCAGCTAGTTGCTGTCTCTGCCCCCTGATTCAGTTAACTTTATTTCCACAGTCTCAGAGTATCACAGTATGATCAAATATCCCACAACATTTCCCCCTTTTAATTTAAAGAAAAGGGAAAAGTTTTAACTCCAACACAATAAAAACTATATACAATAAGAACAATTATCAGGTATTGACTAAATAAAAAGGAAAAAATTCACTGAATGTTCCTCCTGATGCTGTTCTGTGTTTCAACCTCTTATTTCTCTCATATCTCTGGTTTTTGTTGTTGTTGTTTTTGCTTTAAAATTCTAATCCTCACGCTCCTACCCTGGAATGTATAAATTTTATCGAGGCTGGTCTTCGACATATGTGCATCTTGTAATTTCTTTTCTACCAGAGCCAATTCTTTCTCAGCCTCAGCTGATAATTTTCTTGGACTATTTATGTCCTTATCACCTTGTAAGTTTTGAAATAAATTACTTACTTCTTGAGTTGTTAATCCAATTGCGAGCCATAGCCAGTTTATATCTCCCAGCAAATTTTGAAAATGAAGAGTTCATAATTGATCTCTCCTGATTTGTACTTTCTGTGGTTGAACTTTCTGTAAACCTATATTATATCCTAGAGCAAGAGAGTTTCCCAGCTGTCCCAAACTAAAAATTCGGCAAAACTCGAAGCCCTTCCCTTCTTCCTGTGTGTCTCTATGGCCATCTTCCTGGTTCTTCTATACTCTCTATGGCTAATTTCTGTCAACTAGCCCCTCATCCAAGGTTGATTTTGTATTAGCACCTTCTTGGGGTTTCACAGTGCAATCAAATATCCTGCAACATCTCAGTGGTGGGTGCCAGGGCACTGAGCTGCACAGGGGCAGGTGGTAGAGCCTTTGCTGGGTTATCTCCATTCCCTAGAGCCCAGTATGAAGCCCAAGAGCAGAGTCAGGAGTGGGCCTGATCCTCTCTAGAGACTACATGCAAATTCTCAGCATTACCTGTAAGGTTCTGACTGCTATGTGATACTGAAATCCACTGTGTTGCATTTTCAGACCATGAGCAGAAACGGCTGTGATTGTGGATTTTTGTCATCAGGAGCAAATAACTGATTCAGAGAAGTGGAGAATACTGAAATATTCAGTAATTTTTGAGAAAATGCTTGCTTTAGAAAATAATAATTGTGGTGTAATATAAATGTTTTATAGCTTTATCTTGCTGCTTTTGGCTTCTTTTTGGAGTGTGTAACCAAAGAGCTGGTGCAATTACATGCACTCCCAGTCTAAAGGGATCACTGCTTCCTTTCAAAGCTCAGAAATGATTTCTACTTTGGGTTGAAGAGAGCTCTGTCCCCTTCTGCAATGGACACAATATGGTTCAGAATAATGGCCTTATTAGCAGTTATCTTAAACACTAGCATATTTAAAACAATGTTATTTTGTGTATATGGAGCTGATCACTTTTTACTCTTTAGCCAGTTGACAGATGCGATTTGTAAGTTCATTGAACCACGAAGGAAGTTAAAGCCTCAGAGGAAAGAAAGAAGAAAAGTCACAGCACAGAGTGTCTCTGATGGGGATATAAAGATTCTGGTCAGGATCTTGAGAGCTTACAACATTCCTACCAGAAAAAAAGTAGCTCATAGGTAAAGTGATGGGCTCCAATGTCTGAAGTTGCAGAAGGTCTCTCTTAAAGATGTTAAACACTCTCACTACTTCATCTGTGAAACTTTTATTTCATTAATGTTTCAATGCATAATGCCTGGAGTTGTGGCTCAGAGACAGAGCTCCTGCCCAGCACATAGAATGTTGTGAGTTGAATGTCCACCCCACACAGATACTTATGTACACCCATACATACAAATCACATGCATAAAATGAATAAGCTTTTAACCCCTCATTAGGCTAGTCAAACCTATTCATGATGTCACATATTGAAAGTTTCTGAAGTAGCTCAGAGGTAGAGTGTTTTCATGGCATGCTCAAAGCCCTGGCCCAAAACAAACTGCCCAAACCAAGCAAAAATGTTTCAGAGGTATAGGATTCCCAAAGTAGCCTTAGTGTGTGCTTTGGGGGTACTTGTCACATGAGCATCTTCTGTGTCACCAAGTGAATTCTTTTTGGTCCTGTTCCCTACTGTGAGTTTCTGAAGTTTTCTGTGATCAACCACTTCATTTACTGTCACGGCGGTGTACTCTCCCTGTCAGAAGCAGAACGGTGGGAAAAGCAGGTGGGACATGCATTTTGTTTCAGGAAGTCTTCCAATGTGGAAAGGCTCATTGTGGTCAGAGTCCCTGCAGCTATAGCCTGTTCTGCCTAGGACCCGTAGGTAACTCTACCAAAGTGGGACATCACCTGTCTTTCCTGTATGCATCGATTATGTTTTATTTGTATTTCTTGGGATCAAAATAGACTTTACCTACCAAAGGCTAATCAAATTAAGGCCCTGTGAATATTAAGTACCTATTTTATAAAATGTATCCTGGATATTTAAGGGCAAAGATTATTGATAAATATGAATATTACTACCCAGATGCCCCAGGAATATGAGGCATTTCTTCTTCCATGTTTACCACATGCTTGCTTTGATAAGCTTAGTACAATTCATGGATTCTATCTGTGAAAAACAGACACTTTTTTTACTGGCTATTCATTTATATGTAAAGCCTTGTAAAGATTTTGACTTTGTTTTACAAACTACAACCTTATTTCTTGACACAACTAATTGTTTTCACAACCGATGCACATATTAATGGTTGTTTGTGAAGAAAGGACATAAAATTGCTGTCTCTTTCTATAGCCATCATTCTACAGAGGAAACTATTCTAACACCAAAAAAAAAAAAAAAAGTAGGAAGACTATATTCCCCAAATAGTACATTTTCCCCTGGGTGCTGAAAACCAGTGAGCATTTTGCCACTAGATCCATCTTGTACTTCAGTGATCAGGAACCACATTCTAGACTAGTGATGTTCACCAATGTGATATGACAATAAATAAATAAATAAATACCTCTGTAAGACCCAGGGTAATCCTCATGGTTACCAACACTACTGCTAAAACTATGTCTCAATGTTGTTTTTCCTGAAGAACTTGGGGTACGTCTACTTACTTGAGGTCATCCATGTCTCACCACAGACATCAAGAAGCAATCAAATCTGTAGCCTCGAATGACTTCTTAAATGAGGTATTTAACATCTTATGTACAATATTGGCCGACTGCTCTCAGTTGCGCCTGGCTTCCAACTGGCTTATTCATATCTACATTCTTCAGATTTCAGTTATTTTCCTTTAACAAGGGAAAGGTATTATTGAGTAATATAATTCACATCATCTCACTCTCTGCTCTCAGGCCCCATAGAACAAGGTCTGAGCTCCTCACTCACACACAGAATCTTTGATAGTCTAGCTCTTTCTCTGCCTGCTGTTTTCATGTCTGTCTACTGCACAGCTATGTTGTCTTGGCTTCCAGTAGTTGTTCCCTCTGCTGGAAATGGCCTCCACCCATCTCCATGCTCTTACCCAGATAAGCATAGCAGTGTTCCAAAGCCTGAGCTCAAACAGGATTTCCTCTGTGATGTTCATCTTGGCCTCACCTCAGAAACACACCCATACCCTTTCTTGAGACCCCCCCCCACCAGGTGCAATCTGGTTCTCTTGCTTTATTGCTTACATTTTATGGTACTTATTAACTTGTCTGTCTAGTTTTCCATGAAAAACTTTAAAACCTTTAAGGAAAAATTCCATTTGTCTTTGGATCTTTGAAGAGTGCCTGACATAGAATAAGAGCAGTAGATGTTCACTAAGCCAATGACTAAACAATGGCTATTAGGAGAACTATAGAAACTAAGGAAACAAGATGCCCGATGATCTAACTTTTTGCTTTCCTCTGTCATGTAAGATATTTTTTAAAAAAAACCCAGTAATTGTTTACTCTGCGTTTCAGGGTACTGTGCACCCTTTCATAGAAGTTTCTTTTCAACACACTGTATATCAAACCAATACTGCAAGCGGATCTCATCCATGCTGGAATGAAGAAATCAAAGTAGATTTTATGTAAGTTGGAGTTCATTTTCCTGCAGTTTCTAGTCAGAGTAATTCTGCAGTGAGGGAGCATGCTTATGTATGCTTGGATGAGTGTGCATGTGGAGGTAAGTAACGTCCACCTTTTTTCTTGGGAAGGGGTATTGTGTGAGACTCCTTGTAGGGAGGTACAAACAATGTCTGTTCGCCCCAGGTAGGGAATCAATGACAGGCCAAAGAAGTAACTCTACAAAATCCAATTTGGAAAAGCAATGAGTGTATTGTAGCTACTGGCATAAGTATAGGTGAGGGCTTAGTTACAGAAGCTGCATCACCACAAAAGCCACCCCAGCCTGGATGTAACATCGGGAAAACTAAAGTCCTGGGGTGCTCTGCAGAACCTGCAGGCAGCTTAATGGGTCAGAGTCTGCACTCCTCAGCGATCCTTACTGCTTAAATAACCTCAGAGGTGGGACTTGTGAATCTAGTATGTTTCAGGGGCTTCCTGAGATTTGTGAGTTGTTTATTTCATAAGTCTTAAACAGTCTTCCTCTAGGATAGAAGTGTCTCTGTTCCAAGACTATCACTATAGAACACACAGTATCTCATTCTCCTAGTACTCAACAGCCTTTATCAATGTATTGATACTGTTAGAGAAAGGGGATACTGTTAGAGAATAGCTCACAGGAGTGGGTTTCTCTCTTGAGCTATGTGAAGAGCCAGCAAGAAGACTCACACCAGATACTGTATACCTCTGTATTCCCAGCTTCCAGAACTGGGAGAGATAAATGTCTGTTCTTTACAGGTTACCTTGTCTCAGGAGTTCTGTAGTTGCGACATTAAATAGACTAAGACACTTTCATCCCTTATCTGAACTTGTGTATAGTTCACTATTGAGGGAAAACACCATGATTACTTAACCCTTTCTTGTCTTACTTCCCTTTGCAAACAGCGCTGTTCTGTACATTCCTGCACTTGTCTTCTAAAGCATGTTGTTTTAAGTTAGTGGCTCTCAAGCATCATAGTCCCCTAGACAGATTCTTAAACATAGATATATGGACCTACCTTCTTAGTTTCTAAATTTGTAGGTTTACCGTGGGGCCTAGTAATTCCACATCAATCAAGATTGTACATGTATGTGCTTAATCAGCAGTGTATTTCCTTTGCTTTATTTTCTTAAAACTTTTAGCCATTTATATTAATATTTTAGATTATTTACATTCTGTCAAGAAAGAGTAAAACCATATTCCCTACGAGATTTCTTTATGTAAAAGGCATTTTAATGAAAGTTAATAAATCGGATTTCAGCTTCCAGAAGAAACATGTCCCCAAGTTTCCACTTGCTTCAAAGAAGAAAAGAAAGATAAATATGGGCTTGACTAATCCCATAACTAATTGTGCTTAGGAACACACCACTCCATATCATTTTATCTGGTATCACTGTGCTTTACTGCTGAACACACATTTACTGTCTACTTCATAATCAAGTGTCCATAGCTGCTAAAAATTTAAACATTTTTCAAATAATATAATTTTATTTTGAGGAGTGGGAAAATTGAACTTTTATTCCTATATATATATGATCATTTTATATGAATATTTTACATTATTTCATAGTCCATATGGCATCATAATCATTGTATGTGATTGTTTATATGATTTGACATTATTTATGTTATATTTGTGGGCTGGAGAGATGGCTCAGCAGTTAAGAGCACTGCCTGCTCGTTCAAAGGTCCTGAGTTCAATTCCCGGCAACCACATGGTGGCTCACAACCATCTGTAATGAGATATGTTTCCCTCCTGAGGAAGAGACTTGGTCAGTTGTCCTCCTCAACTTAGACCATGAAATCCAATATGGACAAGTTCAACAGAACCACCATATATGGGCTGCCTGTGTATACAATCTTTTCATTCATATGTTTTATCTGGCTCACATATTGGCATATAGCCACTTCCAACAAATGCTAAGGAAACACAGAAGAACTGACATAACTATCTACATGTTCTCTATAGTAACATGGCACAGGCTATATGGGCTTTTTTACCCAAGATTCCTCTCTCAAAATGAAAACCACCAGACACTGACCAGGATGTATGAGAGAAAAGGGGAGAGGGAGAGGGAGGGAGAGAGAAGGAACAGGACAAGTGGAGAAAAAAATGAAAAGTTTGTAAAGTAAGGTAGATAGATGATCATGTGTGTTTGGAAATACTTGGGTTATTAATTTAGATATTAGAGTTTAGAGTTTATTCTTTGGGGTTGTTTGTTTAAGATAAGGTCTTGCCATGTTCCCAAACTGGCCTAGGACTTCACTATATAGATGAGGCTGGCCTTGAACATTTGTTCCTTCTGCCTGAGCATTCTGGGTGCTTGGATTATAGTCATGTGCCAGTATGTCCAGATAGATACACTACATTAATTTGATAAGGAAAACATAAAAGGATCAGTAAGAAAGATAAATTTATAAGTAAACTAAATAGAATAATAAACTAATATTAAATACTGACAATTTGTGCTTCTAACAGTTAGATAAGGTTAAAACTGCAGTGGGAACCAGAAAGTCACCTAAGGATCCAACTATTACTTTTTTGTTGTCTGTAATAGAAGAATCTGTTCTAAGTCCTTGTTCCCTGTGACATTCCAGTGATTAAAAGCTGTATGCAGGACTGTAGAGAGCGCTGTAGTATTCCTCTAGTATGCATCAGGCTCTGGGTTCAATCCCTAGCACTAGAAAATGGGGGGAGGAAGCCTACATGCAAATGTAACATATGGTTACAGTAAATAAAGAATAATTAGTGAGGTCTAGTTTGGAGGATGAATTGTGGTAAAATTTGAGGCAAGTTTGAATAGACTATATAACATAAGATAATGTCGAGGACTTGGTAAGTTAAGGTATACCAAACGGACAAACTGAAAAGTGTGTTGAAGTGATTCTTGTCCTTTCTTGTGCTAGCATAGTGCTGTAAATATACATAGCCCCCCCCCACCTTGCCTGGGCATTCTGACCATGAAATGAAATCCCAGGGAACAAAGTAGGAGAGTTAGCTTATTTTATTTCTTGGAAATATAAGAAACATTCAATTTAAAATTGTCAAGGAACATAACCAGTGTTTTCTGGTGGATGCTGCCAGCACCGTTATCAGAAAAGTATAGGTATTATTGGAGATTCCTTGAAGTAGTACTTGCTTAAGAAAACAAACAAAGAAAACCCCCAAAACTTTAACAACTTCAGTAGCAGTAGCAATTGTATGGTAAAAAGTGAAAATATTGCCAGGCAAGGGCTGGACTGCTTGCTACTCAGCAGCCAAAAGTTGGAACCTCAGGGTTGTGGGCATCCTGGGATCAGGGAGCTGCCACCCCCAAAGCTCTATCTTAGGAAACTCAGGGGCACAAAGGGCTCCTAGTGGTAGGGAAAGGAGTGGAGTGAGACCAGGAGCAGGAAGGCTACATGCTGGGCTGAGCATCACCAACCTGGGCAAACATTTCCTTTTTATCTGCTGCCAGCACATTTCATACAGGTCATACCAAGAGGTTGACCTGACCTCTTGGTAGTAATTCCTAAATTTTCTTCAGTGAGGCATACTTCTTTTCTGCAAATTAAGCCCCCCAGCAATGTCCATGTTTTGTATTAGCTGTTGAACAGAACTAAAGAGAAAGAAAGGTGTTACACACTCTGGTGTAATGTAGTGGTCACTGGCTGGCCTGGGAATTGTAAATCCAAAGATGTCTGGAGTCTCGGTCATTTTGGTGCATCTTCTCTTGTGCCAAGCATTGTCTTTCTCTGCCTGACTCATTTTATTTAACATAATCTCCAGCTGAACCCATGTTGTCTATTTTTATTTTCATCTTAAGAGGAATATAAGGTAAATTATAGTACACACATTAGTTCCAGTGAACAGTAGAAGCCAGGCTTCAAGACATATAGCTTTTTGTAAGTTTAAACTTTTACAAAGGAAAAGATTGTAGGTAATTTATTATACTTTATCAATGATGTGCTTTAAAAAATTAAGTAGATTTTGAAAAAAAAAACTTCAACATTCAAGTGTCCTTTTCTTGTTTTCAGCTCACCAGGACATGATTACAGCTTCTCTAGTTTATCGAAAATAAAAGATAATATACATATCAACGTTTTTGATGAAGTGGTAATTGAGAAACATGAGGTAACATAGGAAAATGTCTGGTTAATGTTGAAATAATTATGAGGTCAAACTAAATGAAATCTTGGAACATTTTTGTGAGCTTATTTTGTTGTCTATTTCTGAGACAGGAACTCACTGTGCAGCCCAGGTTGGCCTAAAGTCATTGTATGGCCCTGGCTGGTCTTGAACTTATAACACTCCTATTATGAGTTTATGCCACTAGGCCCCATGTAATTTGCTTTAATGTGATATGTGAAATATTTTCTTAAAAGGGTTTGATGCAGTAAAGTCAGACACATGACAATCCACTCCAAATGTAACAAATCATAGCAACCTATAAGGAGGAAGGATGGTGAACAGGCCAGGACTTGAGAGACCATTACATTTAAATGCGAGCTTTTTAGTAGTAAAGACAGAAAGATAGGCAGAAAACCTCATAAATTTTTCATTTTCTGATCAAAGAAAATACATGGCTCTACACAAGACACCGAGTTATTTTAGGACCAGAATTTTGTTGTGTTTGCTATAATTTCAAAACGAATGACTGCCTTTCTGTACATTAGTGGAAAGTCCCAACCCAATGCCTAGCACCATAGCAAACTCTGTAGTACGTGTTAGTTTCCTTCCAGTTAGCTTGGCATGGAAAATATAATAGCTGCTGTCTTCAGGTAGGTAAGTTAAATACTTTTGTATAAATTGCTTTAAAACCATTGGAACAGTTCCTAGCAGTAAGGTCCACCCTGCTCACTGCCTTCAAGCCAGTACTCCAGATGGCAGGTGGTAGAAAGGAATCAGGATCACTCAAGAGCCTTCCTCAGCTCAGAGTTCAATCTTGAGGAGCTTGGATGTGCGGAGGGCTTTATCAGGAGGGAAAGGATACTTAGTGAAATGATGACCAGCAGACTACACGCTGAGTTAGGTCTTTGTCATCCAAAGTATCTCTTTTTTTTCTTCTCTGAACCGTTGCCATCATGGTTCTCAGCCACCTGGTGTTATCTCCTGTAGTTCTGTTTAGACGGTCATCTTACTAACCAACACCTCCCCCCACCCAAGTTAAACTGTTCAGCAATTTACATGGGTGTGTTCTGTGATGAAGGAATGGAAGGGGAGTTATAAACGTCAACAGATGTTCTGGGTTTTGGGAATCTAAACCAAGAACTTGTTGGAAGGCTCTACCCCTGGCGAGGGCGGAAGGGGACACCACCTAGCCAGCATAGTGATCAGTGAGGTGGCAGATGTTGTAGATAGATTGCACTCGCGTCCATTCTTGTTACTTTGTTTTTTGTTTTGTTGAGACCGAGTTTCTCTATGCTGCCCTGGCTGCCCTAGAACTTGGTCTTTGAACCAGGCCAACCTTGAACTTCACAGAGATCCACCTGCTTCTGCTTCCTGAGTGCTGGGATTAAAGGTGTGCTCCACCATCACCCAGTGTTAAAATAAATTGAAAGAAGTAATGTTTAATATCTTAGCCATTTAGATGAGCCTTCTCTTCTGGGTATGTCCAACCTGTGACCCACAGGCCACATGCATCCTGGAATAACTATGATGAGCCCCAACCCACTTGCAGGTGACATCAAAAAATTAGACACTCATACATTAGGATTTAGAATGCCAGGGAAAAGGGAAAGGGACAGACCTTGCCAAAGAATTGACAAGGGATGTGCAACCAACTTGTAAAAAGGACGGTAGGAAGGGAAGTGGAATCGCTCTGCTGGGGACAATGCCCTTGAGAAGTGACCCTCTTATCGCAGTTGGTTGAAGGCAGATGATTCTAACTGGGGGAGTGGAGGCTCTAGGTCGGAGAAAATGGATGAGATCCTGCAGTGCAGAGCCCAAGATTAGATTGTCAGACAAACTCTTAGTGGCAACGCCTTCAAGCCAGCTTCCCAAGAGTGTACGAACATTCACATCAAAACTTTACATGAATTCTTAGTAACAGCCAAAGGTAAAGTATTAAGTGGCCATTTGTTGACAGCTTGCATTCAAGGATTTACTGTGAATAACTTTTCTGGTTCTATCTCAGTGGCTGGTTTGACAGATGGGAATAAGCTGACTGACACTGAACTCCATTGTAATAAGGCTTTGCATTGTTCTGGGTCAGTCTGCACATGTCAGGTGTTAAGATGTGCTTGCGACAATGTTGGCACTCTGTTTAGAAGAGGAAACTGTCCTTATTGGCCTTTCCTCATGGACTGTGTTGTAGGTAACTATAGACTAAGCATTCCATTTTCCCACAAAGGATTAGAACAAGCGACGAGATAAGCGTCCATTTGAAAGAGAGTCTGGGTTGATTATTGATCACTGTTCTGTTCATAAATGCCTTTTTTCTCCTATGTTTTTTCTTCCTACTGTCAAATCTTTTTTACTCCCCATGGATCTCCCCTTCATTACAAGTCTCCCAGACACGTCACAGATTTTTAGCACTAGAGATGACAGAGCTGTTGTGAACTGCATTTGGAGATGGGCTGGACACTCCAGGCTTGGAGCCTGGGTTAACTAAACAGTAACATCAACGTGATAGCTCCGGAAAGAATTTAAATGAGCCCAGTGTTCAGATGATGGTTTAAATGCTTAGGAAGGAAAGTGGGGTTGGGGTGTGTGTATGGAGAGAGTACAGGGGAGGGGAGGGGGAGTGAAGGATGGGAAGAAAGGACAAAAGTAGAGAAAGGATTCTTTTTAAAGAGTTCACATCATTAGCATATCATTATCAGTGGTCTTCCAATCTTTAATATACTATTAACCTCTTATTATTCCTGACTTTATCCAAGTACTTCTGTTTTTTGTTCTGATTTTACTATTTGTGTTTCTTTCTTAAAAATATTTATGTTACTATTTATTTATGTGTCCATGTGTGTTTATGTATATGTGTATGTATAGACCAGAGGGATGTCAGATCCCCTGGAGATGGAGTTAGTTACTGGTGGTTGTAAGTAGTGTGAGGTGGGTGCTGGGAACTGAACTCAGGTCCCTTGGAAGAGCAGCAAGTGCTTTTGACTACCAAGCTGTCTCTCTAGCCCTTTGTGTCTGTTTTTAAGACAAGATCTTAAAATATTGTTCAGGTTGGCCTAGAACTCATGATTCTTCTTCCTTAGTCCCCCAAAGGGAGGGGTTACAGGTATGCATCAGCACACTGAAATTCTTTAAGATCAGGGATTTCTGGAATAAAAGGGGGTGGGGGCTTATTTAGCTATCACAGCTCCTAGTCACAAGGGGTCCTTGGACAAGGTCCTGCAACAAAGCCTGACAGCAATTGCAAGTAAGTCAAAAGAACCCCAAAACCAGGACCTTTTTATAGTGAAAATGGGGGTTAGGAGAGCATAAATCACTCACATTGAACTTACACTGCCTGGATAAAAGAAGGGCAGGAAAAGCTGAGACAGGAGGAGAGTCCCTAACTAGAGAAGCTTGCTTCTGCTCGGTTGCCCTGGTCAGCAGGCTGTGCAACACGAGGCATTGATGGCCTTGGTTCTGTTCAGCTCGTGTCTTGTTAACTGATTAATGTTCCCTGTTTTCCCTCCTCCTCTGGCCCTTGTGCTAAAATTTAGAACTTCACAGGACTTCTACCAGATTTCTCAACTTTTTTGAAAAATAATCATTTGAAGTTTTATACTTCATTCTGTGTTTTCCATTTCATTTATTTCTGCTTGAAGTTTTATTACATTCTTCTAATGTCCTTGTGACCATGGTTTCTGAATTTATTTGGGCAAATGTGTTCAATATCTGTTTGTTTGGTCTCTGACTCAATCCTAAATAATAGAAGCATTCTAAACCTCTCTCCTCATCTTCAAACTATCTTGGACTGAATATTTTCTACCTGACTTACCTACTATTTTTAATTCACATTATTTTCTATGTATGTTTTTTATGATGTATTCTTCCTTAGTCTACAATTTTTGTATATTACATGTTTACATTCTCAAATGTTTGAAAGGTTTTAGTGTAAACTTTCAATTTTACATTTTAGTTGCATCATTTAGTTGCATGAGCAATCATATCATTTATTTTCTTGTTTCCAAGTTTTGTAGAATCAGTGGTCCCACTCTCCAGCTGCACTTTAACATAAGCTAATAAAAAGAGCAGGCTAGGTTACAAAGAAATCACATCCTAAGACAAAAGGAAAGTGTCATTTTGATTTGCAAGGTCTAGGTGCTGAAATGGTGGCACTGAAAGTGTTAAACTGCCTCTTTGAAGATCGGCCTCCTGCTGACCTGCCCTAGCAGGCTCCCAAATGGTGATCTTCAAAATAAAATTCTTAACTGTGTGTGGTCAGGGCTGCACTTGGGAGGTATAGGTTCAAAGTCAGTCTCAACTACATCCATGGGTTCATGGAGAGACCTTGCCCCAAAGGAATAAGACAGAGTGAGAGAGAAGGACACGCAATAAGATAGGGATGCAAACTGCACCCAAATACACCACACAAACACCCAGAGACAGAGAGACAGAGACAGAGACACAGAGACACACACAGAGAGAAACAAAAAATGAATTGTTATAGCTCCCTGTGAGTTTGTAAAAGTATTCATCTTATAGGGGCCATTTTTTGAGTTTGACTTCAATTTGCTTTAACAGGACCATTGTCTTAAGAGCTGCAGTACTCACTCCTACATACAAAAGAACTGGATGGGCTCTGTCAGCTTCCCCTTCTCAGCTCTTCTGCAACAGTCTGAGGTAACAGAAAGTTCTTTTCTTATTATTCCAAGATTTGTTTCTGTCTAATAAAAGCACTTTCTGATGTTAGCCAGTCAGAGTCTGTGATTGACAGGTTGAAAGGTTATTAAAATGACCCTATATTACCAAGTGCCGTGGGGTTTAGAGTACTTACAGAGTGTGACTATCTCTGGGAGATACCTGTAAACTTATTTCTTACATTTTGAAAGTGTTAATTAAGACAGAAAAAAAAAGCAGCTAGGCCTAAGTCAGAAAGCAAAATTCGTATTTGCACAAAGGTCTTTCTAAGGCCAGACCCAGGGGCCAAGAATTTTGTCTCACCTGCCTTGTTTATCAGCCATGTCAGGCTAATTACGAGATCTGGTCTCTGCAAGACCCTGTTTAGGGTCAATAGCAGCAATGAGCCTGCATGACCAGCATGTGTGAAACTCCAGTCTAGGCTCCAGTTTGGGCTCAGTTATTTCCTTACTGAAAGATCTTAAGCAAGCTATGTCAGACACAGGAGATTTGAAAAGTCAGAAGTGAGTTTCCTACCTCAAGGTCATTGTCTGGTGGGCAGGGGGTTTAACATTTTGGTGCATCATGGTATGCCATAGTGTTTCAGTGGTATATGGGATGGGGGGGTTAACATTTTGGTGCAGTGTGGTATGCCATGGTGTTTCGGTGGTGTATGGTGTTTCGGTGGTATTTGGGATTGCGTCCTGTGAGTGTAAAGAGTAGCCAGTAGAACTTCCCTCTTCCTGGGTCACTGGGACAATGGAGGTGTAGGGTAACAGGAGAAGAATGTTTTAGTAACTTGTTTGTTTTGTTGTTGTTGTTGTTGTGGGATATTTGTACACTGTGTGAAGATGTAGTGCTGTGATTGGTTTAATAAAAAGCTGAATGGCCAAGAACTAGGCAGGAGGTGTGGGCGGGACTCCCAGGCAGAGAGAGGAAGTAGGAGGAGATAATCAAGGCACTGAGGAGACATAAGGAGCCGTGGAGGAGTTGGACATACAGAATGAAAGAAAGGTAAAAAGCTACATGGTAAAACATAGATTAATAAAAGCAGGTTAATTTAAGTTATCAGAGTTAGTGGAACAAGCCTAAGCTAAGGCCAAGCTTTTGTAAATGATAATAAATCCATGTCTTTATTTGTGAGCTGCTGGCCCAAAGAAAAGTTCAATCACAGTTTTTCTTACTTGGCTCATTGAAGTAAATATTTCAATTAATTTCACAAGTACTTGAGGGCATTTAAGTGAGAATTAATCATGTGTATATTAGTTAGGACTTGATTAGTTCAGGTACAACAGGAAACCAAGCACGGGTGATGTAACTTGGTGGTCTATTTACCTCCCCAGTAAAGATGCCGGGGCAGCTGCTCATGAACTGTCATGAACCCAAGCTGTCTTTCTCCTTCTGCTCCACTGTCCTTACTATGTGTCCTTTATTCTCAGAAGTGCAAGCTCTTCCCTTCAATTCCAGCTTCGTAGCTGTGTTGTTACCAGAGGCAGGGAGAAACAAGGCAACCGTCCCCATTTCAGAGAAGGAGTTCCCCAGCCATCCAGATTTCTGCCTACATTTTGCTTATGTGACCACAGCCCTTCTGTCATGGCACCAACCGAAACTCGACTCTTTTTATTTTGTTTTTAGAGAAGCAGATCATAGATAATAGCTGGAAGATAGGAAGATGTTATAGGCAATCACACGAAGCCATAATGGAACATATTACCGATAAGGAGATCCAAGTGGTCAGAGGCGCAGGGCTTCCTATAGTTGTAAATCTCTGCAGACATCTCTCAGCCTCAGACCAGGCTGTGTGATGGGCAGGTAGTTAAGAAGTGTGGTTTTCAAAGATAAACAAATATGGATTAGAATCCTGGCTCCCCTACTCATTAGTTCTATGATCTTTCACAAAATAATAACTCTTACAACCTCAAATCTAATACTTTAAATAAATATGAGGGCCTCACTGATGAGAAAACCCTGCACCAGCACTTGGTACAGGGTCTTACATAGCACGGGCTCGGTAACCATTAGCTGCTGCTGCCCCTTCAATTTCTCATTTACATTCATGATCCCTGTTTCCATCTTGCTCGGGGCTGCTTTTCCTGCCATTACCTCCCCCCCCACACAAACACACACACATACACACTCCAGACTCAAATGCAGAATATAATGTGATCTTCTTTGAGCCTGAATTAGATTTTCTTGTTGTAAGGTTTATCTTACTTTGGCTTCTGTCTACATGTGTGGGTATGCGCTCGAGAGTCCAGATGAGAGCATCAAACCCCCTGGAGCTGGAGTTGCAGGCCTCCTGACATAGGCACTGGAACCACACCAGGATCCCCTGGAAGAGCAGGACACACTCTTAACTACCGAGCCGTCATTCCAGTACCTTAAATTAGATTTTCTAACCAATCACTGTGGTTTGGTAATCTGCTTCTTTAGTTCTTCCTTTTCTTATTTTTTCTCTCTTTGCATAACACATATTGGTCAGGGATCCAAAGTGTCAAGGGTGCCCATTGATCACCCCAGGGAGCCTGGTTATCCCCAGCAGGAGCCCCTGTCCCTGGAAGTCAAGTCTCTCCTGGGGAGAAGATAGGTTTAGCTGATATTGATTCTCATCACGTGTTCTTTCAGATTAGCGGGACATTTCAAGTGAACATTCCGCCTGTTTTGCTTGGGTACACCTGGAGTAACACTTACATCCCTCCTAGAGAAGACTGCAGTGGGCAGAATCCAAAAGAATGTACATTCCTAAATATTTTTGCTACAATTGAACCTCAGATATCATATATCACGTTCAATCCAAAACTAGATGAGGTAGGTTCCACACCGAATTGTTCTGGAACAAATCATCAAAAGAGTGGAAACTGTTTTTAAAAACCAGTTGTAATTTCAAAGTTGTAAGTAAGCAGTGGTTTTTCTCTTGTTTTCGGGTGGGGGGGCAGCAGGGAGGAGTGGCACAGTGTTGAACTATTTTAAATCTGATTCTAGTTTTCAGATCAAATAGACATTTTGCAGCGAGCACAGACTTTTGCCAGGAACTGTAAAGCCATGTTTCCCAACCGAAGAGTTGTGACCACTGTTTTTAATGGCGAAGGGATGCAGGTCTTTGTAACAAGATACATCAAGGCGTTGAATCCACCTCAGCAGCTTCTCGATATATTTCTTCAGGACTTGAATGCTACCCTTGTGAGTGACATTTTTTTTCTTTCAGTTATTGTTTTTAGCAGCTTCATGGAGATTATAGAGCACGTTTGAAGAATCAGGTATATCTTTTATTTGGGGATTCATCTAGGTGATTCGGTCTCTTCAGACAATTTGTTATTTGTGAGTTACAGAGCTCTCCTAACAGGACCCTGAGAGCTAAAAATCAAAGCCTGGATTTAGGTTGCTTTTTACTGTACTCTGTTTTTTCCATTGTGATTTCTTCATGCCGGTGACTCTTACTACCCACTACCCTGGAATTAACAGTATTCTTGGGTGCTCATGGAGTACAGGGGGCATGTGACTTGATTGCATGAAGCTAACATATTTCCCAGCATCTGTGGAGCATTGTGGGGCATATGACTTAAGCAGCATGAGGTCGTCAGTGCAGAGTCAAGGCTGTGCATGGAGGGGATCTGCCACACATCGCTGAATGCTAAAGAGGTTTCTGTGTGCTCCTTTTTTACCTTTGGGTCTCAGTCTGCCGCATTCTGGTGGGGAGGGGAATTCGTCAGTGTGACTTGTGTTGTCGAGGAAGCAGGACACATCCCCTTCTCTAGCTGCAACAGCTCCGTGTAAGTTTATAAGGAAAGAAACTCAGAAAGATTCTGAAGCAAAGCAAGTCAAACCTCCGCTGTTTTGCACCTTTTAAAACTGTTGACCTGTTGATGCAGTGTTACAGTATTTTAAATTCTAATAATTTATTACAATAATAAATTATAAATAATAAATACAATAATAGTGCCTAGCAAGTGCTCTCTGGGTCAGGCCACCTGGGCCCAATCCCCAGAGCCTCATGTAGAATATTACCTTTGTGAGCCTGAACAAGTTATTTCATCACTCTGAGCCTGTTCCCCGGTCCCCTGAGAGTCCTGCCATGTGCTCTGAGGGAGAACGTATGTAAAGCACTGGGCTGGACAATGGACATACTCACTGATGTCAGTTAATGTTATTATTCCAGAACCTCATCGCACGATTTGTATCTTTGATTCCTTTTACAACAGAAACATTGGATGAGAATGATGGTTTTGACATATGGATGACATCAGAGGTAAGAAATGACATCGTATAGTTAGTTAAAATGTGAAATGCTTCTCATTTGTCTTTCCTCTTAAAGTAGCACTTCTTGTGCAGCGTTCTGCCTTGTGAAATGTGAAAGTATCTGATAACTCATGTAGGCTTTCCAGCTCCCTAATAATTTATGGAAATAAATCGTTAAGATGATTTGTTTTCAAAATTCAGAGCAATTCCTCATGAATACTTTTATTCCGTGGGAATTTTAGCAGTGCAGTATTAAGACATCCTCCAGAGCAGTGTGGATTGTCTCTGTGGAAACAGTCAGACATGTCAGCAGCATGTCACTTCTCAAATGTGTCCCTGGTCCCCCCGCTCTGAATGGAGAGCTCCTGCAACTGTGCTCTTCTTGCATCTGTTTTTGGTTCTTTGCAGACAGATTGCCAAGTGGAATACAGGACCCATGCAATATTTGACACACACTTAATAGTATCTGGAATTTACATTTAACTGGGATTCTATATTTTTTTCCAAACCTGGAAACCTTTCATCCTACCTTAGCTTTTATTGAGTGGTTTTTAAATTGACCCACACTTATACTGTATAAACATATGATTCAGCTACACTCTCTTTGAAGCAAAGGGACACTTGTTTTTTATTTCCTCTCATACTTAAATTTAGCGTTAAACATCCAATACGTATTTTCAATTGGATAGTACAAATATAAGAGAGAGCTGGTGTGGTGGTGCTTGCTTTAATCCCAGCACTGAGGAGGCAGAAGCAGGCAGATCTCTGTGAGTCCAAGGCCAGCCTGATCTAGAGAGGGAGTTCCAGCACAGCCGGAGAAACGTAGTGAGACTGACGAAAAGAAAAAAAAAGAAAAGAAAAAAGAAAAACAGAGAAAAAAAAGCCCTGAGAGAGAACAGATGATCTGGAGCCAAGTTGACGGCTCTGCTAGCATTTATTTGGTTTTCTTGAAGGGGCTGGATTGGGGCTAAAATGAACTAAGACATACAGAACTAACTTAATAGTTAACTTCCCTGCTTTTCACTAGGTGGGACTAAAGTGGATGTATACAGATGGCTTTGCTCCAGGATCCAAAGATTGGTAATAGGTTTTCTGTACTTTGATAGTAGGTCTCCACTGACATAGTAAACCAGATCAAGCTGAGTTGAAAAAGTAAAAGAACAAGTTTTGTGGAGGCCCAAAAAATGTGAGCCTATTTCCACCTTGACTGAAGGTCAGAGAGTTTTAGCTTGCTCAAAGTTAACAACAATAAGTGTGGCTACACATCCTGACCTAGGGTGTGGTTACTTGGTGTTTTGGACATTCATATGGTCCATGAAAATAGGTCCACTCCACCCTGATCAGAGAATTCTAGCATACTTCTCTTTCTTTTGAATTAGGAGGTTGACCTTTGGAGGGGCTGCCTTCAGTATACTTGGTCTAGGGTGGGTTCACTGCCTAAACAACAGAATGCCTTTTTTAAAGAATTGATGACTTGCTGTCTCAAAGTATTGAAGCAAATAACTGTTCTAGTTGTCCATTGTATCATGTTAAAGCAGTGTTTTGCTTTCTCCCCCCTGTTGTATTGGGGTATAAAAGTGTATGGAAAATTAAAAGCAGGAATTTCAGTATTTACTGGAGCTCCCTCCCAGTACTATCCAATAGTTCTGTTTTATTATTTTCATTCCTGTCTTAGGTCTCTTTACTTATTTTTCTAATACCATGCCCCTACCTTGGTAAGTGGTATACTTGTCAAAGCTGGTCTCTGACAGGATTTATTTTGAGCAAAGTAACTCCCAGGTGAGTCCTCCAGTCCCCAGAGATTGAGGCAGGAGAAGGAGCAGAAGACATCACATGCCTGAACTAAAGGAGGAAGCTTAAATACAATGTAGGCAAGGGGCGATGATGTATCCTCCACGAACTAGGTTTGTGCCCACGTATTGAACGCTTTAGGCAGCGTCTTGGAGAGGAGCTACTGTGGCTGCCAAGAATGTAAAACTGCGCTTTCTGTGCCTTTTCTTTGTTGGAAATTCTCTGAGAAGGTGGGGCTTGGAGAGAGAAGAATGGGGCTTTCTGGATCAAGCAGAAATGCTGTTTTTTAGTCTAGATTCTTTTGAGACTATCTAATCAAAACATGCTCAAGGGCATTATGGTCATGTTGAATATTAAAGAAGCTGAGCTGAAAATAAGCATTCAGTCCTACCCTGAACATGGCCTCCCTGGCCACACCAGTGCCCATAGCTAAGGTGTTACTGCGTGTTTGAGATTCTTCTTGGCTAGTGTCTATCCTTCCTCTCTCTCCTAACCCTGTCATCTAGTGTCAGATGCAGCCGGGACACACTGATGTGGCTGTGTCTCTTGTTCAGCTTCCATAAAATGTTTCCATGCTGTTGAATAAACAGTTGATGCCCAGAGCTTGCCGGCATCTTCATCCCTCCCCGTCTGCCTGGCCTCTCTGGGGCTGGAATGACCTGGGGACTGTGTGTCTCATCAGCCCGTAGTCACTGCTACCCAACAGCAGATTGCTACTGTATCTCAGGGTGCACAGAAAAGAAACGGCTGACGTGACCACTCCATGATACAGCTAAGGCCTTTGTTGTAGATATGAGAGAGAGAACATCCAGAGTCATCTGAAGGTGTTCAGGGCAGAGAGAGAAAGAAGTAAACTGAACGTGGCTAGCAGGAGATAGAGAGGAGGAGAGGAAAATAGTGAAGATAAGAGCGAGTTACTGGGAGTTAGAGAGAGAAAGTAAGAGCATAGCAAGAGATAGAGGGATATGTACGTAAGAGAGGACATAGTAGGACTAGCCAGGTTATAAGAAAGATGAATAGCTGAGGGGAGGGAAGCCCATAGGCTGGAGGGAGTTTAGGGTGGGGAGGAGATGGGAAGGGTTAGGATGCTTGCATGGATCTTGTAATGTGAAACAGGAACCTGTGACGCTGAGGGAACCTGGAGGCTAGCATGTGCTCTGACATAGTGGTGGACAGCACAGCCGCCATATGTCCCTGCCCAGAGGTAAGGGAAATGACTGCTTTTGCAAATGGCAGCAGGTTCCACGAGTGCCTGCAGACTGCTGGCTTTTATCTCAGCACCAGAAATCCTATAGTCCAGTTTGAGCTCATCTCTGGCTATTTGGACAGCCCAAGATCCAAGATCACAGCTAGCTATCATTTGAACAATTAAGACACATCAACAGAAGATAGAAATCCAGAATTTTACACAAAATTTTCCTTTTAAAATAATTCTAGGGACTAAGGCCAGGTCATGGTGGCACACACCTTTAATCCCAGCACTCCAGAGGAAGAGGCAGGCATATATCTGTGAGTTCGAAGCCAGCCTGGTCCACATGGCAAGTTACAGGACAGTCAGAGCTATACAGAAAAACCCTGTCTCAAAAAATTAAAACAAACAAAAAAATTCTAAGGAACAAACAAAGCATACTTATGATGGTGAGTTGTAGGCCACCAGACTGCCTTTCCTGCTGTCCCCCATTGCTTCTTGCCATACAGTCGTACCTGTTGTCCTATATCTGATCTCTTACTTCTAGCTCATCTGTTCAGCTCTTTAGGGTAAAGATGTTTCTATTATGCTTTTGTATTTGGCATTATCTAACTCATATTTCTTCCTTTTTTTTTTTTTGTCCTGTATTGGTACAGGACAGATGGTAGCCCCAGGGCCCAAAATTTCCCCAGATCCTGTGTGATTGCTTATCAGATATGCTTCCTTGGAGCTTGGGGCAGTATAGTACTTGTTCTCAACAAAAATGCCCCATTTTAGATGTATATTGTCTGTCTACTCTATAATATTCATATTAACTGTCCCATTATCCGAGTGGCCTGGCTTTCCAAGTTACTGTTCTCTTCTCCTCACATCTCATTGGAGCCAGAGCGCTGTTTTGTTTTTATATTAATAGCAGCTGATAAAGTCAGGACACTTAGACAGAAGGAAAGGTAAGGCTCTAAATGTGTTCCTTGTTCTATTCTCCTCTCCTCTTCCTCTCCTCCTTTCGGAATATATTGCATTATGTTTGTTCCTTTTCTTTTGCCCAGTGCTGCATCAGTTTGGCGATTGGAAATAAGGAAGAACATGCCATACTTCTCTGTAATTTCTTTCTGTACTTCGGAAAGAAGGCATTGGTGCTCCTGGGGACCTCAGTTCTAGAAGTAAGTGCTGGGAAAATGTGAATAAACCAGATTCAAACTGTGTATTCGCTAGACTTGGGGCGAACTAGACAGTTTCACGGGCAAACATTTTTGACTTGAGGATAATGATGTTCACCAAAAGTCCTACAGGGCAAAGAATAGGGTTTTTTCTCCTTGTGAAACAGTGCTGCTTAATAAGGCCACTGTCACTATAAAATTACATCATTCAACAGCAGCTGTTTATGGTATATGAGGGTTATGTAGCATCAGCTGCATGGAGCTGTGGCTGCCCTCATCTACCACCATCGTTCAGGGTTTCAGATACCACATTGGAAGGCCTTGAACAAACACGCCAATAGTGTCTTCCAGGGTTTACTCTTACGAGAACTGATCAAAATACATCCTTACCCATAGGAAACATTCTACAACTCAATTTAGACACTTCTGTATATTCAGAATATATATCCTTCCAGAAGCTGTCCTTTGTAGCTGCTTCTGTTCCTGCGTGGCTGTTTGTCCACGTGTCAGCATTCCAGGCTTGCCTTATGTCTTGCTGCTGCTACGTGTCTTACTTCCCAATATCCCTTGCCATGGCTCATCATTTGTCAAATTTGTTAATGGCCCATTGGTCCCCTGCTGTAGTTGTTAAATGCCACTAGGTGGCAGTAAACACACTAGATCTCAATAAATATATATTTGAACACCATAGGGGGCTAGTTTCACCTGAGTTCTGTGGTTGGGGTGAAGCCCCCTCTCACTATGGAGAGGCATAGTGAAGAACAAGAGCTCTGAGCCAGACACTGGGGACATCAGGCACACAGGGCAGTGTTGAGGCTGGCTGGGTTCAGGACAAGTGTTAGCACCCAGCAGCTTCCCTTAGGTCAGACCTCAGCTTTGTTCGCCTCTCAGATCCTAACCTCTGCCCCGAAGTGGAATTCTGCCTCTCACGGCCACTGCACCTCCTTAAACTCCGACTTCTCACTAAAGAGGGGGCAAAACAAATGTTCCTACCTCACAGAATTGAGAGCAGATTAAAAGGAAAATCAGTGTGGATCTTAGCCTAAACAATAAATGTTAAATATTATTATCATTACTTGAATTATTTCTTTTTCACTAAGAAAGTGTCAACACTAAAGAGATACATGTAGAACGAAATAGCTATTTGTGAAAACCTTTCAAATTGTATTTATTATTGAGGAGGTGCACGGCCCAGCACACGTGTGATGGTCATGGGAAAACTGTGGAGTACTTTCTCCTTCCGCCTTCAAACAGGTCCCTGGGGTCAGGCCACATCACTGGTTCCATAACTAGTTCTTAGTATCTTTCCTAAATAAATATTATTATTAGTGTGTATATGGGGAACAGCATGCCACGGTGCACATGTGGAGGCCAGAGAACTCTGTGGGTTTGTCCCTGCTCTTCTACATGAGCTCCCAGGATGGAACTCAGGTCGCTAGCCTTGCACAGAAGTGTCTTCACCCACTGAGCATGCTCCCCAGCCCTGGGCTTCTTATTCATTAGGTTGCCTTTCTGTATACTTTAGCTTCTAGTTCCAAGCCTTGATTTCAGTTTAGTGGATTTTAAACTCCTTTAATGATTCCCCCTTAGCCTTAGACCACTTTATCTTCCCTTTCTCTGCCTGGTATTCAGTCTCCAAGTATATTCTAACCAAAGAGAGGCCCCACTGTAATGGTCTGTCCCGTCCCTTTGAGACAATCCCCACCCACTCCCTCCCCTGTCAGCTGAGGCAGGCAGATCTTCCTTCCTGCTTGCAGTCCAAGACTCTCTCTCTCTCTCTCTAAGAGGCAGCTTCTGTCTCTCCCTTCTCACACTTCTCCCTTTCCCCCCTCTGTTTTTCTCTCTCTCTGTGTTCTTTCCCCTTCTCCTCTTATCTTCCATAACCCACTAAATAAATATCCAACTTCACTCTGCATTGCATGCCTATCCTTCTCTGTCTCTCACCCGCCATACAACTTCCTGCCTAGGACCTGACTGCCTTGGTGGCCTGCCGTGGTCTCGGAACCCGCTGCCCACTACCTGCTGCTGCTCAGGGACCTGTGGCGTGGTCTTATGGCCCGCTGCCAACGGCCGCCACTTGGGGATCTTCAACATTTTACTTAAATAATTTCACCCACAGCTCTTTTGTGTGAATCAGACAAAAATGACCCTGTCACAGATTGCTGTAGGACAATTTAACAGACCACTGTCTGTTAGAGAGTCATCATTGTATACAGATTTTATTAGAGTACTAAGTTTTATTGCCACCAGTGTACCCTACAGAACCCCCAAGGGTGGTACTGGGTCACAGGTCCTCTGAATTTAAATCCTCATACTACCTGGGTCTGAGGATTTCTGGAACTTTCTTGTTGTTGTTTTTTTTTTTAAGAATTATTGCTTGTTTGTTTTGTTTTGTTTTTGCTGCTAGGTTTTTAAACTCCCAAAGAAACTTTTAAAGCTCAGAATAATTATTATATGATAATTATAGGAGGTAGTAAAAATACAGCAAATACGACTGAATCTTTTTCCTTATGCAGGGGCATGTGGCTTTTGTATTAACCCAAGAAACTGGAGAGTCTTTGCTTTGGAATCCATCAACGGGACAGTGTCATAAGCAGTTTGACCCATTTTGCCCCTTGCAAAGTGTGGATTGTTTGTTCAATGATAGAAATGTAAGTATATGAAGGAAATATTTTGAGTTATTTCTTCACACCATCCTCAGCACGCAGTAGAATCACCCAGGAACTTAGAAGTGGTGGTATTCAGAAGTCTGTGGGGTCAGAGATCAGGCCATCATTTACCCTTAAAGCCAGTCTGTAGAGCTTCCAGGGATGGCACTACCAAGCTAATGCTGCCCTTGCAGTGCCCTGGAACCTGCTTCTCCCCAGGCCTCCCTTGGCTTCCGCCACTTTGTTGAGTACCAGGCTCTAACATCTGCAGCATTCTTAGCTGCCATAGGTCTTGTGTTCCCATGGGATTACACCGACATTTTGTTTATGCATTTATAGGTCTGGTTTAATATTCAACAAAATAATACACCGATGGCTGTGCATTTTGACTACTCAAAAGAAAGCTTCTGGAAACAGTTGCTGCCAAAAGACTTCCCAGGGACAAAAGCCCAAAGTGTACAGGTAAATACGCTTTCAAGTGCACCTGCAGGAGAGTTACTAGTGTATCTAATCTTTGTCAGTTGTGGCAGCCCATGGGTGTTGAATTACTCGGCAATGTTCACCAAAGATGAATCCTCTGCCATCCAGCTTATGTTTGTTCTACTTTGACCCCTTTCCTGTATCTGCAGAAAAAAGAATTTGAGAAAAGAAAATGTCATCTTGAGTGTTATATAGATCTTAAAACCTTTGTAATGTTCAATGTGGCTTAGTAGGTTTTTATGTCTGGTGATGATCAAATATAAAAAAATGATAAATAAAGGTGCTTCTCTGGACTCCAAATCATAGAAGTCATCCGTGGAATAAAAACAGGACATAAATAGTACCAGTGAGTGGGGCTGAAGCAAGGATGACAGCAAGGTCTAAAACCACTTCGGCAAGGGAAGGAGCTAGAGCAGGCATCCCCCCTGAAACCAAGGACGAGGATGGAATGCTCCTTCTCCTCACTTCTGAAATAAGATGGGAAGAAAAAGCCTGGTGTTCAGGAGACTGGAGACCAGAACCGACCGAGGATCTGAATGATGTGGCCAGCAGATCTGCGCTGTGATCACTAGCACTGTCCAGATTGAGGGCTATGCGGTGCCAGAGTCAAGGCAGTTACAAAGTCCACAAACTAGGAGCTATGTGAGCCAAGAGAAAGGGGAAGGAGACAGTGAAGGGGAGAGAAGGCAAGAAAAGAATGGAGTAATAGGCAAAAGATTAATCACAGAAGCAGAAATTCACATGTGCAGCCTCACTTATAAGCAGGGAAATATGACAAGAAAAAAGATGTGTGATCATACCAAGTGTTAACAAAGAGCAGAGAATAGGGCAAGTGCAAGCTGCCTGATGCCATGATAAAGTTGAACGTGCTCAACTTGTGATCCACCAGTTTCACCATCTAGCTCTGTGCCCTGGTGAATGTGCATAGGGAGAAAAGCACAGTGGTCAGCAGAGAATCAGATGGATGAACAGAATGAAACAGCAAGGAATTAGAAACAGTTACTGTTATGGATTTGCTGCGGGTCCTGAGAGCAAAGGGGGTCGGGCAGGGTCCTGGCGCACCACACAGCAGGTCTCCAAAGGTGGCTGGTTCCCTGGGCGTTCCCAGTGGCTAACCATGTGGGTGGTGGGTGGGCAAGGGGCAGACAGATAGGCACACCATGCAGATGAGTTTGCTGCAAGCTGTCCGGGTCCCAAGCAAGGACAGCACACGAGACCACACGCAGCACACGCAGGCTCCATGTGACTGTGGAGGGTGGGCGAGAGAGACAGGCATACCATGTAAAGTAAAGTTAGATATTTATTAGATGGGTTATGGAGGGGAAGGAAAAGGGGAGAAGGGTGTGTGTGTGAGAGAGAGAGGGGGGGGGAAGGAAGAGAAAAAGGGAAGAGAGACAGAAAAGAGGGAAGCGGAGAAGTGGGGAGAGAGGCAGAAGCTGCCTCTCCCAGAGAGGGGACAGGAAGAGAGGAGAGTGGGGCAGAGGCTGCAAGGAGGAAGGGAGTAGGCGTAGCTTGTCTCTTAAAGAGCCAGAATATTACAGTTACAACTTCTAAACTGGTCTGTGGATTGTGAAATATCATATAACGAATTCTGCCACGGCACTGGAAATGTTTGAACCAGCTTGCACAAGTTCTCATCAGTGTGCGTATTACCGTAGAGTATATGGGTGGATCTGCATATCAGTAGCTCCTCTAGCTCCCCAATTCCAATTCCAATTCCCAGACAAGGTTGAGAAATGCTGGCCTAGAACTATGCACACAACAAGAGTGGATAGAAAAGGTGTAACATAAAGAAAATATGAGGAGTATGTCAAATAAGGCACAAAGTACAAACTCCTTAAGTTTGAGAACTACATTGTGTATATGTGTGTGTGTGTGTATACACATATATACTTTTTTCTCTGTTTTTAAATTCATTTTATTGAACTCTACATTTTTCTCTGCTTCCCTCTCTTCCTCTCCCCTCCCCTCCCCTTCAACCCTCTCTCATGGTCCCCATGCTCCCAATTTACTCAGGAAATCTTGTCTTTTTCTACTTCCCATGTAGATTAGATCCACATATGTCTCTCTTAGTGTCCTCATTGTTGTCTAAGTTCTCTGGGATTGTGATTTGTAGGCTGATTTTCTTTGTTTTATGTTTAAAAACCACTTATGAGTGAGTACATATGATAATTGTCTTTCTGGGTCTGGGTTACCTCACTCAATATGATGTTTTCTAGCTCCATCCATTTGCCTGTAAATTCCAAAATGTATTTTTTTTTCTGCTGGGTAGTACTCCATTGTGTAAATGTACCACATTTTCCTTATCCATTCTTTGGTCGAGGGGCATTTAGGTTGTTTCCAGGTTCTGGCTATGACAAATAATGCTGCTGTGAATATAATTGAGCACATGTCCTTGTGGTTTGATTGAGCATCCTTTGGGTATACACCCAAAATGGTATTGCTGGGTCTTGAGGAAGGTTGTTTCCTAATTTTCTGAGAAATCACCATACTGATATCCAAAGGGGCTGTACCAGCTTACATTCCCACCAGCAATGCAGGAGTGTTCCCTTTACCCCATAACCTCTCCAGCATAAGTTGCCATCAGTGTTTTTGATCTTGGCCATTCTTCCAGGTGTAAGATGGAATCTCAGAGTTGTTTTGATTGGCATTTCCCTGATGGCTAAGGTTGTTGAGCATGTCCTTAAGTGTCTTTCAGCCATTTTAAATTCCTCTGTTGAGTTCTCTGTTTAGGTCTATATTCCATTTTTTATTGGATTATTTGTTCTTTTGATGACCAATTTCTTGAGTTCTTTGTATATTTTGGAATCAGACCTCTGTCTGATGTGGGGTTAGTGAAGATCTTTTCCCATTCTGTAGGCTGTCGTTTTGTCTTGTTGACCATGTCCTTTGCTTTACAGAAGCTTTTCAATTTCAGGAGGTCCCATTTTTTAATTGTTTCTCTCAGTGTCTGTGCTACTGGGGTTATATTTAGGAAGTGATCGCCTGATATACACTTTTATACACACTAGATTTGGAAAGGCATAGATGAAAATGCTAAATAATAAATTCAGGTTAGAGGTCACTTTTAGACTGGCGGGGGAAGAGCAATATCAGAGAGCAGTATACATAGAAGGACAAAGAGAGAGAGCACAGTGTGCACGTGTGCTGACTCCGGGGAAACGCTTCCCAGAAGACATCTCCTCAATGATGCTGGCCCCTTCCCAGTCAATTCTTCAGCTCCAGCTGACCAGACACCACAGATTCTTCATACAAATGGCCATAAGTCTTTGCTTCCCTCTGAAACTTCACAAACCAGGGTCTTTTCATCTGCACTGTTTTCAACAGTTGTATCTTCTAAACTCCTCCAGAACAGCCCACTGAGCTCTCAACAGTCAATGCTTGTCTAGCCCAAAGTCCCAAAGTCCTTCCACAATCAACCCCCCAAAACAACATGGTCAGGTCTCCCACAGCAACATCCCACTATCCTGGTACCAATTTCTGTCCTAGTCACTGTTTTATTGCTTTCAAGAGACACCATGACCAAGGCAACTATTATAAGAGAATGCATTTAACTGGGGGCTGGCTTACAGAGGTTTAGTCCATTATCATCATGACAGGGAGTATTGCAGCATTCAAGTAGACACTGGAGCAATAGCTCAGAACTGTATATGCATAGAGAGCTGTCTTATCTGTGTTCTTAAAAAAAATCTCAAGTAAGGACTAGGAAAGGAGCTCAGAGGTAGAGCACTTGCCTATCAAACTTGAGGTCCTGGGTTCAATTTTCAGTATTGTAAAATAAATAGATAAATAAATAAATAGAACGGAGTGAAAATCTAACCCAATACAGAGGAACACAATGGTTACTCATGGCCGTGTAGCCATATGTTGGGTATGAATTCATTATGCCATTCTCCATGATTGTCTGTCAATTCAAGGCAACTCATAGTACCAAAAGGACTGCATAGTTCCCGGGGCTAAAGTCAAGAATACCAAGGAGTATAGAATTTTCCCGCCTTCAGAGTCTTTCCCTCTCCTAAGAAACACCGCTGTCCACCAGCTCCTTGTGCGTTCTCCTAAACATTCCCCACGCACATCAAGCTTATGTGTGTATTTTCGTATTTCCTGTTTGAAGTGCCATTTTTAAAAAAGGGAAATGTGCTTATCTTTCTTGAGCAAACCACACATACAGCCTGTACAGTCCACGCTTCCTCCACTACCCTCTAGCCGGGCTGCTGCCTCCTAGAGAGAGCTTTGTTTTGTTTTGTTTTTGTCTGTTTAGTTATTTCTTGTCCAGTCAGGAGGTATTTAGTGGTTCTCTGTTGGTGTTGTTTTACGTGTAGTTGCCACAAGGTAAAAAACACATCCTTATTCTTTGACCTTACATTTTCAAGGAGGAAAAATAAACAACTAATCCCGCCCCCAGCACTAGCCCAGGCTAGAGGTGAGTGCTGCCACAGAAGGCATGAACATGAGGGGGCAGTGGTTTTGTTTGTTTGTTCTTTGGGAGCTCACAGCAGGAGGAGGGAGGAAAGTTCTGGGGCTTCAGCAAAGTGACTGACAAGCTAAGCTAGCAGAACTTGCCTCCTTGAAATTCATGGAAAAGAATGGCCTCCAAGGCATAGCTAGCAGTGGCCACCTGCAGTGGCCAGGAAGTGTCTTTCCAGGAGCTTCCAGAACATCTTGGCTGCTGCATAAACAGAGATGGGTTGAGGAATGAGCAAAATGCTGGTAGGGACTTGAGCCTTAATCTTCAGGGAAGTCAGAAGCCAACATCACTACTGGAGGCCATGATCCAATATAGGCTCTCAAAAGCTTCTGTGATTGTTGAACTTGTATCTTTGGATTTTTATGGTGCTTGGAACTGAACCCAGGGCTCTGTGCACGCAAAGCAAGCACTACCATTGAGCTGTATCTCTCTCCAGTCAGTCTCCTGCCTTACCACATCCATCCCTGAATAAGCCTCTCTCTGACCACTATTTTACATGATCAAGAACACACCTTTCATTGTGTAATATAAGCACATTTAGACACCCAGAGCCCACATTAACAGGCAACTTTTTAGTAGTTCTGAGGAGCACAAGTTCCTGCAAAGAAAGGTACCTTTGGCAAAACTGGAAAGCCCACAAAACCCCTATCCCAGGATTTATCAAGTCAACAGACTCGGGCCTGAAGGGACTCACTAATCCACAGGAGTTGCTCCAAGGGTAGATAATGGTTGCCAGGTCAGGGAATCAGTCTCCCTGCTCTATGTGGAGTAGCTGCAGCCCCCCTCAAGGTGTCTCTGGAGTTCAGACTTGAACTTGCTCAGCTGTGTTCAGTGGGCCTGAGTCTACTCTTTGCTAAAGTAGCTGTCCAACCACTACTGGCAGGCGCCAGATTCATCTGGGAGACTTGTCAAAGCACAGTTTCTGATTCAGTGGGCATGAAGGCAGAGCTGAGAGTTCACATTTTTACCAAGTTCCTGTCTGGGGTTGGCTCTGGGGCACGATTGGGAACACAGAGACCTAGCAAGTGCTGTTTCCTTTTGCACAACTTTCATTCCCCTCTGGGATCACCTGTCTCTGTCCCTCCAGCTGCCTCTAGTTCCAGTTCAGAATACCCAAAGAAGCAACTGCCAAAATCCAACCCCTTAAAACAACTCTTGTAAAGCTCACAAGGAAGGTAGAGCTGGGCTAGCAGGAACTGAGAGGTAAACAGAGTTGTATTTGTCAAAGTCCCCAGAAGTGTAAGAGACCAGTGCTGTGAGATCATTCGGTAGTATCAATAAGCATGCCAGATACTTGGCTAAAGAAGAAATGAGAATAGAATAGCAAGTGTGTCTTACCCGTGAAAAGTATTCCTTTCATAACCCTGCCCCCATGATGAGTAAGTAGTGTGGAAATCAAAGAAAATGTGTGGTCTTTGTTAGAATTCGAAATGGCTTTTCCCTTGAGAGACTAGTTTGGGTCCAGCCTTCCCAGCCCCAGGACTTCAGGGGTGACTGGGATCTAAAGGTGGTCTAACTTTGAGCTGTCTACATTTCAGCCTGAAGAAATAGTTTATTCTGACACTGATAAAAGCATGGTGGAAGATCTGAAGAGCAGGTACTGTGTCCTCCCACTCATCTCTTGTCTGCCACCTCCTAGCCCAGCCTTGCAAAGTGCTCATTAGACTCAGCAACAGAAGCATGAAGAGGGAGATGACAACGGCTAGTCCTACTGAACCACAATCCCTTTAGCAACTAAAGAATCCCTTGAAAGGACGGTCGATGTTAACTCTGGGCATCATTGGCCATGGTTGAAACATTTTCAGGGTAGATAGTTGATAAGCCTATGGTAAAGGCAATGGAAAAGCCAACACCTTCTAGAAGGATATGAAGGCGAATGGCCATGACCCTGGTTGTGGTGAAAACATCTCAATTGGACAGTACAAACACTCAACAGCACTGCCAATCCTGGATGGTCCCCAAACATATACATTCATTGCCTTATGGAGGGCCTCCATCAAGCCCTAGATGGGTCATAGGCTATAGTAGGTCCCACTCCCACTCCACATGTATCAGCAGTTTCTGAATCTTACTTCCTGCAGTGTCTCACACTCACACAGCAGGCTGGAATGTAACCTACTGTGTGGCCTAAATCATCTTGTCACTTCCTTTCCTTGATCACATACAAGTTTACTCCCATCCCCAGCCGTTACTCCCCACTTTGTGAGATTAAAAAAAAAACTATTATTAATATTTAGTGTGTGGGGATATTTACCACATGCATGTGTGGTGCCCACAGAGGCCAAAAGAGGACTTCAGCTCCTCTGCAACTGGAGTTACAGACGGTTGTGAGCCACCACACGAGAGCTAGGAATTGAAACTGGGTCCTCTGGAAGAATAGCCATTGCTCTTAACTCTTGAGCCATTTCTCCAGCCCCCATTTCCCAGGAAAGAAAACAAGGAATAAATGCAGTAGGGAAAGGGTTCCCAACTAGTGTGCATTAGAATTGCTTCCAGAACTACTTACACTACAGGCTCTAGGGGCCCAGACTCCACTTGCATCATTATCAGAAGGTGAAGCATTCAGACATCAGCCCCATTGAGGCCCACCTAACACTTTAGCCAACATACTATAAACTCGGGAGTTGCACTATAAACTCAATTGAGAAGAGACTTTCAGTAGCTTCTCTATAACAACCTATAGCCTCAACCCCACAAGGTCATCCCACTCACAGGACCCCGTGAACCAGCTTACACCCTTCTCCCTTTTCCTAGCATGGTTCCACCAGGCACCATTACAGGGCTGCTCTAAATTTCTGCTCCTGTGGAATGACATTCTAGGGTAGGTGAGTGGATGTGACTGCCATATTTACTCCCTTGCCTCCTTTCCTCCCAAGTCCACACCCTAATTAACTGCACTAATAATTCCACTCCGGCTAATACCTCATACCAGATATCTGATTTTTAAAAAGGCTATTTCCTGGAAACACTATGCCCTTTGCAAGGGACAGGTAAAATATCAGCCAGTAATCACATGGCAGGTGCTATCAAGTAGCAAGTGCTATACTTGGATATCTGGAAGAGATACTCTTAGCAGGCTATGCATGGAGGCTTCTGGCCTTCCTGAACCAACAAGAGCGTGCCTCTCCCTACCTGATGGATCAGTGTGAATCATAGCTGGCACCCCTTACTGTAAATCTCAAAAGTTTCCTTCTCATTCATGAAGTGACAAAGTTCTTGTGACATTCACTAAATGAGTCACAGTTAGTCACGGAGTTATCTTTGCCTTCTTACCACAGGCTGGAGAGGGCTTTGAAGTGTAAAATGATGGAATGGCGGCCTAAACACCCCACACGCTGGAATCGACAGTGCACATCTGTCCTGCGACAAATCCTTCCTAAACTAGAGTTTTACACGGGAAGTTTTGCCTCATTTGAAGACAGTGAGTTAGAAAGGCTGCTACAGTTTTACTGGGTTTGTATATGATTTAATGTGTAAATGGCATTTGGTTTTAACCTGTTACTAACTGGTAAATAGCGGCAATCTGAATTATCACTGAAATGCCTCTTTTCTTGCTCACCGAAGACAGGTGAGCTGGAAATCCAAATCTCCCCCTCTAGGACCCAGGGGACTAGATGTCTCCCAGGAGAACTCCCTGAGAGAAAGAAGGATCTTGGGAGCTGAGTACCTCAGCAGTCAGGGAGGGCACCATCCATTCAGGAATAAGGAGCAAGTTGTTCTTATTTTTTTTCTTATTTTAACAGAATTTGGGATTAAAGAGATTAATAAATATAGTTAAATTTAAGCTAAAGTTTAAAGCTTAGTGTTTCTATGTAAAAATATCAAACTAATAATGCATAACAGACAATAATTAGGTCAAGACAGAACCTTTCAGCCTGGATTCTATTTACTTATAGAACAAAAATTCAAAACTCAACATTACATGCATGGCATTTTCTTAGAACAAACTGTGTGTTTTATGACACATAATGGTGAACTCTGAGGAGAGAAGTCCTCTCTGAAACTAGGAAACTGAGAAATGATCTCCAGTAACCTACTGGGTTCTATATCATTGTTTCTGGGCAAGAGAAGTCCAGAAAACTTCAGTCACCTCTGTATGCAAATTACGGCCAACTCTATGTCCAGCCTGGACCTTGATACCCAGCCTCACCTTTTACCATCATCAGTGCACTGACATCTCCCTGGAAAGTGAAGGTATCTCAAGCTCAGCCAGTCCATAAACAAATAAGGTGGACATTTGCTAGTCTTCCTCCCTTCGTCCCGCAGCGGCGCTCCCTCACACACCCACCTGGTCTCTAGGAACTAGTCCACTGGACTTTAGAAACTCCAGTTTCCAAGGGTGAGAATATTCCCCTCTATCACCCAGGAAGCTAGATGTCTCCCAGGAGGACTGAGAGAGAGAGAGAGAGAGAGAGAGAGAGAGAGAGAGAGAGAGAAGAGAGAGAGAGGGAGAAGAGAAAAAGACAGGGAGCTGAGTACCTCAGCAGTCAGGGAGAGTACCACCCATTCAAGAATAAGGAGGAAGTATTCTTACTTTTCTTTGTTTTTAATAGAATTTAAGATTAAAGAGATAAATAAAATAGAGTTAAGTATAAGCTAGAGTTTAAAGCTTGGAGTCTCTATGTAAAAATATTAGACTAATAATAAATAGTAGACAATAACTGGGTCGGCACTGAGTCCTGTAGCCTGTAGTCAGATCCTATTTCAGTCATTCACTAGTTTCAGCCTAGGTGAAGTCATTTAACCCAGCCATACCTTTTGTCCCATTGGTAACAGGAGTAAAAATAGTTGTCTGTTTTGTGGTCATGGTGAGGATTGAGTTTATACTTAATATTTTACTCACAGTTTAGTGTTTAGAAAATGCTAAACATTGTTTCCGTTCTGTGCTAGGACCTAGGCTAAGCATTGGAATTATGACAGGAAACAGTAAAGATACAGGTGATGGGCTAGAGGAGACCAGAAAATACAAATGATGAAATGTTAGGTGAGCTGGAGAAAGGGCAGTGCCCACGGGAAAAGCACGTGATGTGTGCAGATTTAAGGATGAGAAAAACTCACCCGAGGGAAGCAACGCAAGGCTGAAGAAAGGGTTCATGGCTGTCACCTGTGTGCTATTATGTAACATTACTGAGACCACATTCCTTCAATAGTATATCACACAGTAGTGACTCGATACAAAAACAATCTTTGAATAAACTGCTCAAAAGCTCCACTTACATCCCTCCTGTGTAGGACCCCCATTTCCGTGTTGGCAGTTCTAACTTTGTTCTGTGTCAGCTGCACCGATTCTGGCGTCAAACAGCGCTGGCTGTTCTTTAGCCAGTCCGTAGAGCGGGGGTGATGGGAGAACTTACTTTATAACGTTATCTGTGGCTCATTTAACATGGTATCTACAACGTCAGGGCCACTCACCAAAGCCGGTTATTGTTAATACTGCCACATGAGTAAGGCTTCTGTGATGTCTATGCAGACGGTAATTCTGACTTCCTCTAGACTGTAACGTGCTATTGTGTTGTGCTAACCTCATCCAGGTCACAGGATTTCCCATCCAGATGCCCTATACAGATGTCCAATCAGTCATTGATGCCGTCTACCAGACTGGAATTCACTCTTCTGAATTTCCCCAGACGGAATTTGCTTTAGCTGTGTACATTCATCCATACCCAAACAACATACTATCTGTGTGGGTCTATCTGGCGTCCTTAGTCCGCTATCAGTGAGCGGGAAGAAGGGAAATGCAAAGAGCACTGTGGTCTCCTAGATCCAAGATGTCCTGTCACCTTGAGATTTTGCTGTTTATTTTCAAGTTCACCAATGCTGGACATAATTTGGATTCCTGAGTAGAGCTGGGAACTAGGAAGACCACACCTACCCTTCTCCAGGCTTTGAGGGTAAGTTTAGATATCTCCTTACCAACATACCTCTTCTGGGAGCTCCTCGGGCAGTCTGGATGCTTTGTGTATCAAAGTCTACTTAGATCTCATTCTGGAAAGGAAGCAGTTCTGGCCTGCTCAATCATGGAGATCACGCCATCTCCATCAGAGCCATCTTGAAAGTCTTATTAAGAATGAAGATTCCCAGATTACCCAGGACTTCCTAAATCGGAACTGCTGAGAGGAGAGCAGTATTTCCAACAAGCTCCCAGGCAACTGTGATCCCTGGGATCACAGTGTGGAGGGATCACAGTGTGGAAGCCTGACCTTGCAGAGTGTTGTCAGTACTAATGAGACATGGGTACATTTGATGCTCTTTCCGGTACAATTCCAGGTAAAAATTCCCCAGAGGGAACCCTGAGGTCATGTTCCCGTCTGAAAGCCAGCAGGCTCCAGATGTAAGAAAAGCCTGTTTCAGTTTGAGTCAAAGGGCCAGAAAACACCTATGTCCCAGCTTAAAGAAATTAAGCAAGAGGAAATCCCGTTTACTGGATTGGGGGAGGGCAATCTTTGATTCTACTCAAACCTCCAGCCAGCTGCATGAGGACTGCCCACATTCAGAAAGGCTGTCTGCTTTACTCAGTTTACCAAGTCACAGATTCGCCAATCCAGTGCTGCCTTCACTTGTGTATCCAAGATGCTTGATCACAGGGGATCCTATGGCCCCGTCAGGTGGATAATATCAGTCTACATCCATTTTAACCACAAGTAAAAATGTATGTAAATTTTTAATTTTGGAGTACTCACAGGTAAATTCCATATTCTAAATACTGCAAAAGTTTGGGCCCTATTTTTGAGAGTAAAGACTCTCCTTAACAATCTGCATCATAGTGGCTCGGCAACAGCATTAGGATCTTCCATAGCAAGTTCATTGCAGGTGTGATCTGCCTCTCCTCGCCCTCTCCAGCTGCTGAGGGTCAGGTATTTTAGAGAAGGATGACAGGTGTCAGCGCACTAAGTCCAGTTAATGAGCTTCTCCAAATCTAAATGGGAGGTGATGGTGCTGTAGGCAAAGATCCTGGGTGTGACTTCGTGGTTGCAGCGACTTAAATAGTACACAGGCGTAAATCTGTACCAAGGAAACAAGTCAAGAACAGGGCCCAGGGTTTCTGACCTCTAACGTTTGGTATCCAAAAGAATCTGATGGAGCCCGGGAAGAATCCTGAATGCTCAGTAGACTAGAATGTAAGACAAAAACAAGGTGCACAATATACCATGGAATCAGGTACCATTTTACACACAAAATGAGGCAAGGGGGTTACATTTGTGCGATGCTATAAAGACCTGTATGTTTCTGGGAAGGTAGAACAAAAGGCACAGCAGTAATGGTGCCTCTGGGAAGAAGTGGGTCCCTGGAGGAAGGAATCTGCTGGTCCTTACTCACTACTTCATATTGTTGAATGTTTTGTCTTTTGCATGCGTTATTTAAAAAGTTTTTCTTTTAAAAGCAATTTAATTGTTCAATTAAATTTACTTTTTTAACTTTTAAATACATTTTATGTATGTGGTTTACAAAGTTTTGTTTTTGTGGTACTACAGCTTGAAACCATTTGATAAACACAAGCATCAAGTATAGAAAGCGTCATGAATAATCTCCTCTGTGCGTTCCAATGTTAGTGTCTATGCTGCCAGAGCATGGCGGCTTCCTAAACTGCCCAACGTTCCCAGAATTACGAAATCTGCTGAGAATCTGGTCTCACCCTCATCTCTGGCCAAGCCAGCCTTCTGCGCCTTAGGCTGCAACCCACCTCTAGTTCCTTCTCTCTGATGGGTGGGTGTCTTGCCCTTTTAAGTTTTATACCTTTGCTGGCCACTTCCTAGGTTTGTCCTCCATTTCCCTTTCAGGTGTGTTTTCTCCCAAGAGGCCTCCCGTGTTTACTGTCCCCCTTCTGTTGGGCACACCCAGATAGACACCGGTGACTTACTTCCCGTCAGGCCTTTGCATGGCTCCCCATCATAAGACAAGGTCCACTTTTCCAACCTTGTTTCCCTCAAAGCACTTGTTACCATGGGGTTTGGATTTATCTTTCATTTATTGTGAGTAAACTATGAGAAAACAGAGTTCAGTTAAGTAACTGCTTCGTACCCAGCTCACTCTAAAGGAATAAAGAAATAGAAGACTAAAATTTACCTCTTGGGAATGGAAGACCACCAAAGACATACACAGACATGAACAAGAATGGATATTGCCATCTTATGACAGGCCATTGAAGTCTAGAAAATAATACATGATTTCCCAACAGTATCTCCCTATAAACAACGTCCTCAAAGTAGAGACTGCAGGACAACCGGCTCATTACAGCATCACACAGGCGATTACCGTCTGTGGCCCACTTTTCTGAAAAGGTTAAGAAAGGCCTAGACTCTAAATCATTTGGAAGCCAAATTATCGCCATAAACCTGCTCAGTGGTTATGAATTGGAAACGGGGGATATGGGTACTATTTAAATACCATAAATACATGGAAATTTTAGCCCGATGTGTCCTCCTCCTCTGCGGGTAGCCTCTTCCTGAACTGCACTGGGCTAGGCTGGGCCCTGCCAACTTTCATTTGTACATTTCCCTTTTCTTGCCAGCAGTTCCCGAACTCCTGCTTTCCCCAGGCATTAGCATTGCCACCCACAGGTCGCAGCGTCCCGCCAGGATGTATGCAAATGCCAGTGCGATAAGACAGCTCCTGCAACACGCGCCTGCTCCTCATTTTGTAGAAACCCCTTATCGCCCTTCCTCTTTCTAAACAAAATATTCAAAGGAAGGGGTGCGGTCTCATGACTTTTGTTTAAATTCTGAAGTCGCTCTATAGGCTTTGGAAAGTTGGGGGACTACTGTCCCAGCTGACCACCTGCTTTGCGGTGGTCCACCAAACACTTCCAAATACAATTGATAGGATTTCTGTTACTCACATTTCAGCTCCATCAACACTTGCTCCATCAACACTCCAACATCGATGCTGGAGTGTTTCCAGAGTTTGGGGGTTTCTTCATTGACCACCGCAGATGGCCAATTACATTCATTATAGATTTGACAAGCCACGTTACTAAAGATGTTAATTCCACTCACAACTCTTTGAGAATCGCCGAAGCAAATGCAAGGAGAAGAACTGAATCAGACTGCTAAAAGAATACTGGGTTTAGAGTAGGAACTGGAGCAGCGTTTGTCAAGCAAAGCGGCTTAGGGACAGTGGGAACAGCTAAAGTCTATTTGAAAGCCGCCGCCCGGGGCCGTAGAGCAGTTCCTCTAAGTGAGAGGCAGCGGGCCAGGTCCGCGCTGCCAAGGTTAAGCGCAGGGCCGAGGCGTCGCAACTTTCTTTGCCTGCGCCCGGGACCCATCAAGGAAGGCTCGCTGCAGGTGAGTGGCCGCGGGGGCCGCCAGACTCCAGCGGCTGCAGAGCCGAGCAGCCCGGGTTCTCCGCTCCGGCCGGGCGGGGGCCGC